GATGCTGTGAGTAGGAAAGGCTGAGAGTAAATGGTAGGGTGTCAAACACTGTATCTGTGTCATAGCCTGTGCCTACCTCCTGGATAAATAATTAAATGTTGCAGTGTTAATTTGCAGAACTCCTCTGAGCAGTCATGAGGACAATCTTTTTGTCTTCTTTCATAGCAGAATTTGGCACCCAGTATGTTGGTATGTTGGTTACAGTCATAAGAGAACCATAATCTGTTTTTTTTTTTTTTTTTTGTTTTGTTTTTTTTTCTTTCATGTTAATTAGCTTTTAAGGATAGGTTTCTGTCTTAAAATGAAAAAGAAGATCTTACAGCTCAGGGTACCTGCTTTTATGTTTTCTTAACAAAAACGTGACTTGTCCAGGATATAATCATCACTGCTCCTTCCCTCTTTCTCTCTCTGAGACATGCACATGTGCATGCATGCACCCACCCACCCACCTGGAATATTTATAAGTAATGTTATGATAACTTTGCCAATGTGCATCTATGTACAGCTTGTCCAGACTTATGACCAAATTCATTTCCCATCATAAGTCATGGCTAACTTTGATTTTTATTGCAATTTTCTGCTATATATAGCAGAAGAAATTCCTCTGTGTGAAGCTATTTTAAGCAAGTTTTGCAAACACCACAAGCAACAATAAGAACTGATTTAGAGCTAGGGTGAGGAACTTTAGCCACATGCACAATTGTAGAAGAGAAAGCAAAGCATTTTAAAAACAATAAATTATATGGTATATGTTTCGAAAACTACTAGATTTGTTTGAGGCAACCTTCCAAAGATGGCTTTTGCCTTCTTGCGGATGTTGTTATAACCGATGCTGCACACCCAAAGTTGTGTAGTGGTGTGTTTAGAGCAGTCTTATTCCTGAGGGGTTTTGTCTTTTTTTTCTTTCCCCCTAATGTTTTAGCCTGTTCTCATATGCTTAAGCTGGTTTTTCAAGACATTTTTAATTTGTGGTATTTTCACATATAGTAGTGTGTTCTGAGATTACTAATAAAAAAATATTTTTTTTACATTAAATTTTTTTTTTTTAATGTATACATGAAAAATAGCATTTCATAGAAATACTTCCTTTAGAAACTGATGTTTAGATACTTGACAACCCAAAGTGCCTTTCAGTTTTCATCAGTTGTGTCCCAGAGTACCGTGAACTGTGAAGCTGAGGTCACATATTAGCAAGTGATTATTGGACAGTCATTGAAAAAAATGTTGAAAAATGAAAAAGTGGAAAAAAGGTTATTAAAATAACTTCAATTATTTCCCATTTGGTGCTTTAAAACCCATAATGTATGGTGTCTGATTTTGAATTTTAAATTAAAAAATTGTTTAAAATTCCTATAAATTCATTTAGCTTTTTGGAGATAAACAGTTGCAGTATTGACTGAATTCGGTATTACCTATTTGCATGCCCCAAATCTTCCCTACAGAAATAAAAATAACACAATGAGGTAGTATAATCTTTTTTTTTTTTTTTTTTTTCAAATGAATACTGCATTTTTTCCCAGAAACAAAATGATTGAACTGTATTAAACAAAGTTTTATATTTACAATAACTTGTTTACTTGTTTTATCCTTTAAGTGTCACTTTTGACTTACTAAGTACAGGTAGTTTGTTCTCTACTGTTTATGTATTTTTTCAGGTTTTATCTGTAACAGTTTCTCTTACATTTTTGACACAGATACCTATCTGTTCCAGAACTAGTATTTGCTACAACCAGAGACTGAAATGGTCTGAATAGAGTGTTAAATAACTTGGCTTTGACAGCTCCATCGTTTCCTCAGAACTTGGAACAGAATTTGAGCTCTGCTTCTACGCTATCTTAGATTATAATGCCATCCTTGCCTAATGAGGGAGGTATGCAAGTCTTGTATTTTTAATATAGCCTATTAATTATTTCTGTGGGCTTGTACTTGCAAGTTGCAGTGAAGTAAATGTTTGTAACTGACTAGCTCAGATGCTGCATGATGGATGGTATGGTAATTTTAGTTCATTTGTATACATTATTTGAGATATAAATGTGTTGTTGACAGTTAAAACATTATTTTTCAAAGATAACCATGGAACTGCTTCTGTGACTTTGCGGTCGGAACTACCCTATCAAAGCCCAATTAAAAGAAAGGTCAGAAAGAAGAAGAACGGAGTCATCACTGCAAATGTTGCTGGCACAAAATATGAAATTGGTAGGAAGCTATAGATCTTGTTATCATAATAGCAATTGATGTGAATGGATTACTAACTAATGGGGTGAATTAATGGATTTTGCATCAAGCTGACAGTGAGTCATTTTGAAAGGGTTTTATGTTCTGAGAAACTTTTTTTTTTTTTTTTTTTTTTGTAACATTGCATTGATAGCTTTGAATGCTGTACAAACATGTATTACTCCCCACTCCTTACTCAGGGAAGGGCTTTGATATGCAAAAAAATAATTAATAAAGATAGCTGTGGAAAAAAATATTAATTATGATTTACATATGAATTCAGATGTATACTTAAAACCTTAAATGATGAACAGTTTAAGTGCAATATTAAATACCCTTACTATTATGCAGAGGTTTCTCAATTAAAAAGTAATAATGTTTTGCATTTTGATTAGGCTACTATCACACTAAATCTATAGTTTGTATTTTGTTGTAGAAGAAAAGATGTAGAAAACTGGAATCATGTAATTTGGCCTCAGCCTTTTAAATAGTGTGTTTGTGGGAACAAAACAACAGCGTATTTCTTCTAGCTTTTGGTGTAGTAACAGAAGAGAATCTGGGAGTTGCCACTAATGCTGATTCTTGATTAACAGCAAATAATGACAATAAATTTGTACTCCTATTCAGCCTGTGATATGCAAAATAGGTTTGTTCTGATAGCTCTCCAAAAAAAAACCAAATGGCTCAGTATTGAGACAGGTGCATTATCCTCCTCAATGGAGTAGTTATTGGTAACTTTAGAATGACTCTCTCTACCCTTATCTCCTTCCAACTATGGAAATGGTTCAACAAGTTTTCCAAAGACTTCAGGGCTAGTAAGTATTTCAGAGACTTTCTGTGGCATCTGTGAAGTTTCAAAATGAACTGTTTACACTGGAAGCCAACTGATGACTTTTCTCAGGTTCAGGCTTTGAACCAGGAATAGTGACAAACTTTCAAATTCCAAACTCACAGCATACTTGAGTAGACCTTGCTGATTTTTACCAGGTGGGGAAGACTTCAAATCCAGAGGTGTCTTCTTTAGAGAGGTGATGTCAGAACAAATTTATTACACAGATAGCAGAATGAATAGCTTAAGGAAAAAGAATATTTCTTTTTGTTTCTTCTCTTTTTTCTTTACAAAAACCTTTTGTCCAAGAACCTGTGTTATGCCTGGAACATAATCAGTATTTTTTTTTTTTTTTAATCTTAAAATAATGTATGCATTTGTTTTTGTAACTACCATACTAAATAAACTGTGGAACTATATGATCTTTAAGGTCCTTTCCAACCTGAGCCATTCTATGATATCTGGACTAAAGAGGCTTTGTTCCCTGTGTGCAGTGACACTTATATTTATCATAGTTTTAAAATTAATGTATGTAATGGCCAAAATTTGCTCTAATAGCTGTGCAGGTGGACACTGACTAGGTCAGCATGGAATGCCTTGAAGCTATTTACAGCTCCCATCAGTGATTGTACACTGCTTCCAGATTGGTACAAGGTCCTATACCATTGTAATGACAGATTTGCAATAGACTGATGGAAATATTGCAAGTTAAATAAGAGCTTGCATACTAATATTGTTCTCAGGCAAAGGGATGAATATTTAAAATATTCAATATCTTGATCAATTTTTTAAACTTTGAAAATTAATCTATTTTTAGATATTCAAAAAATTCCTTAAGTATGTAATTTCTCTGTAGTACGTGTGGTAATACGAGAAATGGGATTTGTGAAAACACGTGATGAAGATGAAACAGCTAATCTTATATGGAGTGATTCTGCTGTGCAACAAGAAAAGATTGCTGAACTTCGGAACTATCAGGTAGAGTGATAGTATTTTAGACATGGTTCAGTAAATTGTTTCACTCTGAGAAATTCAGTAATGTGTCACTTTTGGTTACACATATATGGAGAGGAAAAAAACCAAAACCACAATAAAACAATGCCATCCAGATTGCAACAATGCTATACCACTACATATTTTTAAATACCGTTCTCCTTTTTGGAGTTACCTGTTCATACCATTTGGAAGTATTTGGGTGCTGTTCTTTCATGCTTTTGTCTGCCAGTTCATTGTTATGAATTATCATAGTTTTAAAGAAGAGGCAAAACATCATTTATAAGTTGCTCATAAATTTTAAGCAGTAAATTAGGCAGAGCTCTCTCCCCAGATAATAAATATTTTCTTTTCCATGTTTTTTTTTTTTTTTTTTTTTTCCTCCCTGGGAGGAGAATACAACTTACTGCATCTTTAGTTAAGACCACATAGATAAGTTAAGACCACATGAGATACTTTCTTTAATGATATATAAGTGACACTGACTATGTTTGCCTGAGCATGTAGTTGAATGTTTTGAATGATTGTATTAGTTATGACAGAAAAATTAAAGAAGTACTAACTTAATTTCTTTTTTGCTCCTCCCTCAGAGAATCAACCATTTTCCAGGAATGGGAGAGATCTGCAGAAAGGATTTTCTGGCAAGAAACATGACGAAGTAATCTTTTATTATTAAGAAGATTTTCAGCCATGGCATTTAGTGCAGTACAATGCTGAATTATTGCCTTTTAGGTTTGTTTATTTTTAAGAAGAGGCTACAAGAGGACCAAGAATAATTTCCAAAGTTACTGTGTCTCTCCAGTTTACATCAGTGGAAAATGATGTGGGTTCAGTTCTGTGTCTACATGCTGCAGAATGCCTGAGGCAGCCTTAAGTTGTTATAATACATGTAATGTATAATATACCCAAGCATACATCATGTAAGAGTTGGAAAGGATAAATGACTAGTATGTGAATGGATATTACTTATTTTAAAATAATTAATGACAATATTTTTGTATATATCACATTAAAAATGTGAAGCATCTTACTGTTTATGTCAGAAATAAGTCAGACAAATTTGATTTTGTTATAAATTATCCTTCCTCTAGTGAAATAGATGGGTTTTGAAGAATTATATTAGCTAAGAATCTGTGAGTAAGAACTGAGAAAACAATAGTAAATAATGATTCATCAGCCTGGTAATAAGGAAGAGTTTTCAGAGAAATACATGTGAATATTTTGATTCTTCTAGCCTAGATCAGTTTAAACAACAGTTAAAAAGAGTTAATCTTTTGGCCCCAAATTTTACCTACACTGCATTTGCCATTACCAAAATATAAATTGTTTTTGTGTATTTATGTAATGTGATATCTCATTTCTCTTGTTCTCTTTCCTTTTTTATTTCATAAATACTACACATAATATGTAGAATGCATGCAAATATTATGTGCATTGCCGTGGTGTCTACATGTCCTGCTTATGGACCAGAATCCTCTTGTTCTGGTCCATAAGTATATAACTGCTGTACAAGCACTTCACTGCCCCTTCCAGACTTTATTCTAAGTAAAAACATAGAGATAGCACATGGATGTAAGCAGCTATTTGGAGAGATCTCAGAAAAAATGGAACAATTTTGGTCAGCTTGGTAGGCAGTGCTATCCTTGTGTATTGGTGCAGGTATGTGATTTAAAACAAATATGCAAGATGAGCAAAAGATTCATGCACACATTGCATTCAAATACAGTCTTTCTCTCAACCTACTGAATTCTGAGATTGAAACAGTTTAAAGATGCTGAATGTTGAGATTGCACATATTACAGATAAAATTAGGATAATTTCTCTGGTATGATAACCCTGGGTTAAATATATCTATGTTGTGATATCAGCACTTAAACTCTGTTCTATCTGCTGATGTTTAATTAGTCTCTTTTTTGCAGTACTAGCCTCACAATTCGATATTTGGAATTCATAATTTACAAAACTCAGTCATATATCTTGAGACTGCTTGTGAAAACAAGTCAGTTCTGGTATGTGGTTGGACAGACTTCTGTATTTAGAATGGAGGAATTTGTTCCATATAGCTGCTGTTCTGTCTTAAAATTTATTTGGAGAGAATAATGCAGAAACACTAATCATGTTTTGTTGCTTTTCTGCTGCATGCAGTCCTTTCTATTCACTTGGATCCTTACCTATTCCTAGCATATTCTGCTTGCTATTTTTCCCCCCTGCTGCATTTGAACTATGCAAATGCTCCTTGTGTGTACTAGACTTGGATTGCTGATGAGAAGGAAAAAGACAAACAAAACCCCCACCCAGTTGTTTTTAAAATAAATAAATAGACATTTTTTTACACCCTTAAAGAGCTCCTTTGGTAACAGTGAATTTTCAGTAAGATCAGGTAAAGCTCTTTGATTCCGAGACAACGAAATAAGGGATAACCCAAGAACAGAGTTATAAAAATTTTAATTTTTTTCAAAGACAAGCTACAAATGCCCAGAATTTATTTATTTATTTATCTCTGCATTCATTTGTTGTGAGAAGTAAGCAAACAGCATAAAGAAGAAAGTGAGAAGGAAAAGATTTAGAACAAAATTGAGTACTTAGAGTGTATGAAGAATTACATGTCCTGGGTGATGGTGAGGAGATGTTCCTTTGGAAAATCTCCTGCAAATTCTTATTTCAAAACTTGTAACTGAATGTCAACACTTGAATTTGTGTGTCCATAAATGCTAAATTTCTTTTGCCACATAACAGGCATCATGAGATCAGTTTACTTAGTAAGTCATATTTGAGATCAGTTTACTTAGTAAGTCATATTTGACTAGTATATACAGGGAAAATATTATGCTGAGGTAAAATGTCCTCTCAGTAAACTGAAATGTTAATAATGATTTTTTTTTTTATTACATGCCAGAGGTTACTTACATTTATTGGCAAGTTTCAAATTGCTATTTGTGAAAAAGTCACATGCTTTATTCAAGTAGCTGTGACCTGTTTACTCAGATAGTTGCATAGTTACAGAATTATGACAGAAAAAAAGTCCTGTACATGTTTAAATCATATTTTCTGTAAATAGATGCAATCTCCTCATGAGTAGTAAGTGTGATTACAGATTGTATGCAATAAGTAGGGGAAAAGGTGTACAGGATGAACAGGAGAGGGAATAGATATGAGACGTTTTTTGTTTACATTTAAAAGGTTTGTGAACTGGTCATGGATGAAGAGTCATTCTCATCTATCTCATCCACTAACCTCCTTTCATATCTGAAAAGTCAGAGGATCTTGAAACATAGGCAGTAGAACCTGTGTTACTCAACTGACAAGTCATTTCTTAAATAACCTACAGCCTGTACAAAACACCTTTGGTTCTTTTGCACAGAAAGTACTCAGAAATGAGAGCAGGGGCTGACTGGATCTGGGAGCTAAAATAGCACTCAGAGGAACAATAACTTGCTTTTTAGTTCTCAGGCCTCCTGGTAAGGACTGCAAAGGCTAAAGGACAGAGCAGCAGAGTGAAGAAACGGTTACCCACAGTAGTAGATAACAGATGTGCTGGAAAATGGGGCTATTGTAATGGAATAGGTCTTCATTCAGGAAGCTGCTTGATGATGTTCCTACACCATTTGTGAATAGGGCCAGGCAGGGAAGAACAGAGATTAATTCTTCTGTTGAAAGTTTTAGCGAGCATCTGAACTTGTAACAAGTAGTAAGTATTCAGCTTTATGTTATTGTTTGTAGTCTACCCAGCTATGCATAAGGTAAAAGAAGGCATAAAGAGCAGATATAATTGCAGTCAGAAAATAAGATATCTATAATATCAAGTTATATTTGTTAAATAGGGGATATGAGTATTGAAATCTGTGAGTTAAATTGCAAATTTCTGTCATGCAACACTTCAGGATGCATTTGAGACATAATTTGGAGAGGGACGTAAACTAACACAGAAGTTAATTTTTTTTTGCCTAAATATAGGATATTTTATGGCTAATAAATTACGGCTAACTTATAGGATAATTTAAGATATGCTCTTCAGTTAGCAAGGTAGTAACATCTCTAAACGTATAGTAGATGGACAGTTTAAAAATTACGCCTTAATGATGAATTATATCAACTCATTTTTTTGTCTCCTGAATATCGAATGGCTTTCATCAAACTAGATTTTTAAAAATGACAATTGTGATGAAGCTGCAGGAACACTGAGCCTCATGCAGTACTCCAAGAGTACTATAGCTATTGTGGCTTCTGTAGAGTGTTTGTTGGGTAGCTGGCTAACGGTTTGGTGACAGTGTATCTATTATACCAGTAGATCCTGGCTGCAGTCCTACTCTTACAGATGCGGTTGGCAGTTCTGCTGCTTCTGTTAGTATTTGAGGCACTTAAAGTAAGAGTGTCTTATAGTGCATGGGGATCATCGTGTAGGCTCATAGTAAAAATGAAGTATTGAAATGATATTGTATGTCTGTTTTACATGTAAGTTATCCTGATGATATTAGTTTCCATTAGAAAAGTAGAAGTACAGCTAAATCTTTAATTAAAAAATAATAAATTCCACCAAAGTTTGTTTGTTTGTTTGTTTGTTTATTTATTTATTTATTTATTTATTTATTTATTTATTTATTTTAATTAAAGTCTGGGTAGCTTGCTATGTCAGTTCATTTCTTTTTAAGCATTCAGCTTTCTGTTGATCTGTGGCTATTTGTATTCCAGACATGTCCAACCTGAATGCTAGTGTAGAGTTACCCAAACTGAGTTCATACAAAGTTACATGTGAAGTTCCAGGAGTTCTGCATACCTGAAACAAGCTAGCTGCTTCAGGATTTAACTCAGCAAAGACTAAATTTGTCCTGCTGGGAACCATGCTATGCTAGTCCATGTAGTACTACAAAGTACACAAAGTTTACATAACTTGGCTGCTACCAGTATTAAAGCTACCTTGCTTAAAGCTAACCTGTATGTATCTAGCCAGCGCTGTCAGTGTGGTGTGGGTATATGCTTCCTATCTACCAGAGATAGGGCTTTGAGTGATGGAAACTTCTATTAACTGAATTCTCTACTGTCCTTTTAGGAGAATTAGAGGAGTTAGATGCATGCCAAAAAATGAGATGAATGCCAATAAGATAATAAATACAATACGATGATAAGCAAAAATGCACAAGATGGTCTGATTTTGTTGTTCCTAAAGTATGCATGTGAATATGTCAGAAGTCTAACTATTCTAAATCAACTACAGACATCCGCTCTCCTTTTTTTTTATGCAAAATATACATTTTATACAAAAATACAAAAAAGTATTCTGCTAATGAAATTTTCTTGAAGATTATTGTAAATGATGTTTAATCCAGAGGATTGATCCATCAGATCAGTTTAGTATTAAAAAAAAAACACCAAAAAACAAACAAACAAACAAAAAAAACCCCCAAAACAACGACATTATATTGTACTTTTTTGCAGAATGATCAAGTGTCAGCCTCAGGAGTACACTTTTATTCCTCGAACATGGATCTTCCCTGCAGAGTACACACAGTTTCAGAACTACGTAAAAGAACTGAAGAAGAAGCGTCGACAGAAAACATTTATAGTCAAACCAGCTAATGGGGCAATGGGACATGGGTAAGTTTCATGTTAATTCAGTCTTCTTACCCAGAAAGGGCAAAATCTAGTGCTATTTACATCATTAACAGAAGCTGTTTCTTAATAAGAAGTTTTTCATACAAGTGGTACAATCAGTACAAAAAAGGTTATGTATTGGACAAAGAATTAACAAGGAAAAACAGCTAAAATACTAAAGTAACTGGAAGTGGTATTTTAATGTTGTTCTAAATGTGACAATTAAATAATACATTTTCTGATGATGATCAGGTAAGTCTTAAGAGCAGTATTATTTTTATTGTGGAATTACCCAAACAATGTATTTATGAATCTCTTGTGCTTAGAATTAGAGGGTTAGATTGCATGGGGCACAAATGGCAGGGTATCAGTAGTTGCAGGCGTGTTGCTTGGAAGATCAGGATATTCCACAGCTCTGAAAACAGCCCAAGTACCCTATTGCATGCTAAAACTGCAGCACAAACATATTTAAGATCAGCAACCTCAAGGTGAAGGAGAAATAGAGGAGATATCGTTGGGGATGCAGCTGGAGGCACAGTCTTGGAAGGAGGTGACCCTCATACTGGAGAAGAGACACTGCTGAAAAGACTGTGACCTGCAGTTGGGTTGAAGCTGTTTTGCCTGTGACAGGAATTGTCAGTAAAAAACAAATGAGATTTAAATATTTTGATCTATTATTTATCTTCTTATTTTTGAATATTTCCATTTCAACTTTTATTGCTTTTAATATCAATTTGGATTATATACTATAGTAAAGCTCTTGGTTTTTTACTTTTTTTTTGTTTTTAATTTTTTAATATTGGCATTACTGTAAAAGTAAAGGCCCTGAAATTTTTCCATTTTGTTAGTTTTCATTCCTCTTGGAATGAAACAGAAATTTTGAGATATTTCACAGAAAAAATGGGGAAGAATAATCACGGATGCTAGAGGCTGCAAATTCTGCCAAACAATTTCTAAGTGAAAAGGGAATCCATTATCACCATTTGTGATAAAGGAAGCAGAAAGTTATTTTGAAGTGGCTTGTTGCCTTTTTTTCCATCAAGTGAAGTATTATAAAAGACAGAAAACTAAAAGCCATGTAAGTAAATGGCAATTTTTCTCTACCCTATGAATAGGCTGTGTAAGCTCTTTCCACGTAGTCTTTAGCCTAACTACCTGACTGAAAGACCATGAAAAATTATTTCAGAGTTATGTCAAAGTCCTACATTTTTAAAATAACTTTTGTTTGTAACTAGGATCTCTTTAATAAGAAATGGAGAAAAGTTACAAGCTCAGGATCACTTGATTGTTCAGGAATATCTTGACAAACCATTTCTTATGGAAGGCTACAAGTTTGATTTACGTGTATATATTCTTGTAACCTCATGCGATCCATTAAAAGTGTTTTTATATCATGATGGACTGGTGAGAATGGGCACAGAAAAGTACCATCCCCCCAGTGACTCAAATTTGGTAAGTTGGAGTTTATTCTAATTCATTGCTTATGAATGTAGAATTTTACCTGTGTAGTGTACAGGCATCAGTGGATTTGAATTTCTTATACCTCGCTCTGTACTCTATTGGTGCTATATTTTTCCTTTTCCTTTTCTATGTGCTTTTAGAGCTGCTTCAGTGTAATTATGCAATAGAAAATGCCCGGTGAGCCATTTACTCTACTGTCACTTATATACTGTTCTCTTGAAGAATGCTGGTATAATTTTGATCTTAGTAGAAATCGTATGTTTTAGGAAAATTCCAGTATTATATTTGAAATAGCTTGCTTCTAATGTTTTATTTCTTTATTTTTATTGTTACTATTCTCAGCATTATCAGCACTGAAATATGCTATGACTGGATAAACAGAGCAGCAGGATAAGCAGTTTTCTCTGTGTTCTTGCAACTGTTCATGTTGTAGTCTGTTTATTGTATGAAATAACCTGGCTTATCACTAATGACATTGTTCTTCAGATGACGCTGTTCCACAGTGATATTGTTCCGGATAACTTCAGACTAAAGATTAGTTCAGATATTTATATAATGTTCTAAAAACAGTTTCATTTTTTGTAGTCTGAAAAATGATTTAATTGTCTGAAATAATTTAATTTGATGGAAAGATGACATTTACAACTACACAGAAACACAATAGGTTTCATAATCATTCTCAAAGCAGTAATTGAAAGCCATGAGAGAAATTCATTACTTGTAGTGCTAATACAATGTGTTGTTAACTAGCCTGCAATTAAGGTGCTTGGTTTTGTTAATTTCATTTATTTTTTTAACCATAAGTGTAGTGAGATAAATGACAGCAGAAGGCTTGTGTTGTCTATTGGCTGTCTTTTCAAAAACGAATTGGAACAGAAAGCCCATGACCAGCTTAGAACTTCAACTAGCATTCAAACAAGGAATGAAATATGATAAAGACCTCTCACTGTGATAAGGACTGTCATCATGATAGTGCAGGTGAAGAGCTGAATTAATACCTGTACTGGAAGATACATAAATTTATAAATCATGATTTATAAGTTAGCCTTTAAAGTGTTTTTCTTTGTTTGTTTGTTTGTTTGTTTTTAATGTAACTGATAACATAAATTGCTGTTTAAATTTTCTTACCTGTGAAGGAATCATAGCACTCACTTGTTTATGTAATACATCTTGAAATTTACCACCCTCTAATGTATGGCTACCAGCCATTCAAAAATGAGCAATTCTGGTAGATAGCAACAAGGCAGATGAATTTATATGTAAAAGATACTTCAAAGTATCACTATCACGAAAACATTTCTCATAAATAAACTAGAGCGACAACTGAAATGTGGGAATGTCTATAAAATGGGTGCTAAAGTGGTTTTTGCACTTTTAAAGTAGCAATTCAAAATACCATCTTTATTGTTTGCTTCTTGTGCAATGTAATTGTTCTGTAAGTTATGATTGCTTTTCACATTTTTATGTAGTTGTTTACATACAGACCTGTAAAAATGGCAGATATATTTCCTAACCAGATGTTGATCGCAACTGGCTTAAGTACAAGCCCAGATTTTGTTATAACATGGCTAGACTGTTCAGTATGTGAAAATTCCAAGAATTAGAGACATCAGAAACAACAGAACATCTGCTCACAATATATTTTCAAATTGTTTGACTGTCATTATTAACATTTTTAAAAAATTATTTTGAATTGACTATTCTAGAACTGTATTTAAAGTGTTGTTCTTTTGTTGTTGGTGGTGGTTTTTTGCTTTTTGTTTTTTTGTTTATTGTGTTGATCTCTTCCCTCTCTTCTTAGAGCCAACTGTATATGCATCTGACTAACTACTCTGTGAATAAACATAATGAACATTTTGGACGGGATGAAACAGAAGACAAAGGAAGTAAACGCTCCATTAAATGGTTTACTGAGTTTCTAGAAACAAATAATCTTGATGTCTCCAAATTCTGGAATGATATTTCAGTAAGATAAAACTAATATGCTTTTCTTTATTTTGTCTATGTATATTCTTAAATAATGATTTGCTTCTGTCATCCATTGCTTTACTTGAATATTATTTTTGAAACTTTATTAATCCAAATTCTCAGCAATGCACGCCACAAGTGACGTGCTATTAATGATGATTATATTTTAAAAAGGTGATATTCAGAGTTTGATCATAAATTTAATGTTAAACTTTGTCTGAGGCACCAAAGCCCTTTCAACCAGTTAGTTATTCACATAAGTAATATCATACACAGGAACAATCCCATTTAAACTCTCAAAAACTTTTCTAGCACTTAAAGTGAATTTTATGTGAGAACATTTTCAAAACCGCAGTCAGTGCTGTGTATATCAGTGGATTGGAACCTGCACCATTAAAGTCAGTGGATATGTTACAGGCATCTTCAGGTGAGGAATAGGACAAAGACTGATAGAGCTGGGGCACAATCTGTAATTATGATTCCTAGTATATTTATTGAAAACGATATTATGAAGTGAAACGGGCAAAGTTTGGCTATACTATGCATTGTTCCCAGTATACCTTTAGTATTTAGGCTATCATGTATCTAAAAAAAAGTATGTATTATGGAATGTATAATAATACAATAGCTATTAAATATCTGTAAATAGGTAAGAAAAAGTCTGTTACTTTGAACATTTATTTGCTATTTTAAGTCTTTAAAAAATAATTTCACTAAAGCGTTTATGAAAGTATGAAACACGTTAGTTCAATATATACTGGTATCTTCTCTGCTGATAAATTTTTCTGAAAACATCCCTACAGGAGTTAGTAGTGAAGACTCTCATAGTTGCAGAACCACACGTTCTTCATGCTTATCGCATGTGCAGGCCAGGGCAAGCACCAGGAAGTGACAGTGTCTGCTTTGAAGTCCTGGGATTTGATATTCTGCTGGACAGAAAACTAAAACCATGGCTCCTAGAGGTAAACCTCTTTAAACAAATGCAAACTTTATTCTTAAAAGTTAAGCGAGCTCCAGCTGAATCCATATCTGCGTAAGAAAACTTCCACAGAAAATCTGTGTGTTACAGGAGGTACTGTTTTTGAGTATCTAGATGGTACCTTTTCTGCAGCAGCCATATGGAAACACTGCCTGTCAGTGATTTTGGAGACTCAGGTAAGGTTAATTGGAGGAACTGTTGCATTTGAGGAATGTTGCATTTTAGACATTTGTGAAAGTTTTAATGAGAAATGCAATGTTAATCCAATTGTTCTGGGTGCATTGTATCTGGAGGATCTTTTTATGGAAAATGGGTTAGGGATGGGCTTCCTTCATGAGTATGGTTCAGTATATAGCTCTGGCAGCTTGAGTGAATGTGTGGTCCTAATCATTTTTTTTTGGTTTTTGAATATGAGTTCTTTTCCTTTCCTATGCCTTTTAAAAGTACCCACATACAGAGAGGAAAATACCAGCAATGTTGGAGGATTGTCTACTTTGTTCTTTTAATTACTCTATTGTTAATATATACATATGGAATTTACTTACCTTTTCCAGATTGTCTTATTTCATTATGTTAACTGTCTGGGATGCTGTACAGCTGGAGGAAAAAAGCAAACTGCATTAAAAATGTGTCTGCTGACAATAATTCATGAATATGATTGGCTACTGATGAGCAAAATGTACGCATTTAACTTACTGAATTACAGCCATGTTCTAAGGTCTTTAATACTGTCAACAGTTGTTTTGTTGTTCTTATTTCTCTCCAGGGTTCAGTATAATTTTAATTAGAAAAATACAAATTCCTTCACTGTCCTCCATGCTAGCTTTGATGTCCTAGCCAAAAACAATTTCTGACAGGAACTTGATCTGCACTTACGTCTATGTCTTCCCTTTTTGTCAAGTAAAGCCTATTAATCCCTTTGATTTAGCTCTACACTTCCAGATTATCATCTGTAGGTTGCCCATAGCTTGCATATAGGTTGTTTAAATACAGACTGAAGTTTACCATTTATGGTAGGGTAGTCCCAGAGGATAGTCTCTATTTCTAGACTCCTTGTTTGTGAGGGAGGGATCTGGCAAAGTTATAAATGCTGCTTTCGTATTTGCTGGAGAATACTTCAGGACTTGAGGAGTTGTGTACTTGGTTATTTTTATTTTTTTAATATAGAAGTTTATTTCTTCTACTTTTGACAATACGGGTATCCTTTAACTTATTTTGCCAGATGTTGAACTTAAACTTGCAGAAATTTCAAACTTTAAAATTTAGCAAACTGGTTTCCACACTCATCCACAGTTTTTCACTGTGCTTGTTCATGCTTTTCGCAGCACTCTCAGTACAAACATGTAGTGTGTGTGTGTATAAATGTATATACCATATACAGTGTAGTATAGAACAACCTTAGAGTGCATATATATGTACTAGATAAAATAATGTGCATCTAGTGTGTGTATGCACACGCTGTATGTAATAATAGTATATATGCATATATTTCTTTCTAAAACAGTTCTGGCTTCTTCCCCAGCTTTCCACTCTTATCTCTTTCCACCGTTTCCCTCTTGCCAAAACCCTCTCCAGGGAGTGAATCATTCTTTCTAACAGTGGTAACAAGCACTAATCACAAGGCCCTGAATGTTCCCAGCGTTATGGGAAAATTGCCAAAATAGGATTAGGATAGTAAATCTAGTTTCTTATTTCCATAGCTCATGTAGCTTTTCTGTTATAAAGATAGCTTAATAAACTATTATAAGAAATAAATTGTCCAACATTATAATAACTCTGCTTTCCTGAGATGACTTTTATTTATATTCCACATTATACAACGTAGCTTTCCTTCTCCTTGATGCTACTGAACTTCCAGAACCTTCTATCAAAGTGAGAGCTGAGGGAAATGCATGATTGCCATCTTGTGGCACCAAATGTCTCTGGCAAGCATCTGTACAGTCCTAGCAGTTTCCATCTGAGGAGCACCAGCTACCTAGATCTCTCTTCTGTTCCCAGAAAATTCAGTTTTACTGCTTTTGACCAAAATTTCCAAACTAGATTAGTTTATGTAAATTTCAAAGTTATACAGTTGAAATTCTTGGATTTTAATAACTTATTTTTCTCCCTTTTCCTAAACTAAGACCAAGCTGCCTGCTTTTTGGTTTTGCATCCGTATTGCAACCAAGCCTCAAGTGCAGGGTACCAAACTTCTCTTGTGATTTATGTGACTGAGACAAACTTGCCTTATATACAATTCCACATGTTTTTTATTTGCTATAATTGAACTACTAGCAAACTATTTGCATGACTTTATCAGTCCTGTTAATATGTCGTTGGACCTATTAGGCTAAAATTTCCAATTATTGCTAATTTCTATTAATGAAGTAGTTAAAATTCACATACGCAAGTTTTCTAGTGTCTACTCTTTTCTTTTGTGTTACGCTTACCCTGCCTGTACCCCTGGAGATCCAAAAGGCCAGCAAGAAACAGGAGAGGTCTAGTTCTACATAACAAGGTGGGTAGGTTGTTGTGGCAAGTTGCCAGTGTCCTGTGTTTTTCACCAGGAAGAATACGCTGTTGATGGTGATGGTTTCTTCTTTGCTCTTAGCTTGTCTTAGCATTAGTTTTAATCTTTTGCTGACACTGTCTACTTACTCACTGTTCACTCACTGGCCAGCAATTCCAAATGATCTCCAAGTTTTACTGTTACTGGTTTGTTTTACACTTTCTGGATTGTGTTCTGTATTCTGTTTGTTTTCCCTAAGCCCAGTTTTATCCAGTTCACAAGGTTGCATTCCTGTAGTGAACACTATTTGGCCACGGCAATTGGCACATATCTGTGTCTCTAGGTTTTCAAGGGCTTTGCTGTCATCATCTGCTTGCACTTTTGGGGCCCTGTATGTAATTCTCTTTTGTCAAGTCATCAAGATGTAGCTCCCTGATAAAACTACTAGTGTCTTTTAGCACAAGCTGATCATTTGTACATCGTGGTTCTTGGGTCATTGGATGCTAAATAATCATCTCTTAGAAGACATACATATACAATGCTTTGGTAGCTAGTCATTATGAATACCTATTGTGGTGGTATCGCTGGTACGTTATCAAGATTACTTTAGAGCACTGATGTCTTACAGATTAGTCAGCAACCATTTTTCCTGTCTGGAAACATGGGATAGACACATGAAAATAAGGGACAGTGTATTCTTGCTAGGAAAAAGTAATTTTCTTAACATAGCATCTTTCCCTAAGGCTTCTTGAGACTTCTCACCAATGATCACATGTGACAAAGTAAGACACTTTGTTCAGTATAGATGTTTATTTATTTATTTATTATTATTAAAAAAGTTATATAAAATAACATGCAGATACCAAAAAGCTGAGTATATAGAGTAATGGTATTTGCGTTGCTTGTACTGAGCCATGAGTAGAGTCATGTGGAAATATGTCTCGTTGCATTTCATTGGCACTTGAATTGTTTCTGGGCTACCATAGTTCATAAACTTCCTGCATAAATCTAATCTTTTTGTTTGAGATCAAGTTCTGCATGTCAATCAGCACAAAGTTTGTGGAAAATGACCAACTTCCAGCAAAATAAAAAAACAGATTTGGTCATACCATATCTCTCAAAGTGTGAGTGATATTCAGAGTTGAACGTGGGCCAGCAATGTGTACTAAGTGATGTAGACTGATCCATCTGGCACCTGTGAGGCCCCATCCAGAATACTCTGTCCAGCTTTATGCCCCAGAGTAACAGAGAAACACTGATAAACTGGAATGAGTTCAGCAGAAAGCTGCTAAGGTGCTTAGAGGACTAGTGCACTGGTATAGATGCTTTGTGCATGATCTTTTGGGATTTCTGTTACTCTCTTGAAATAGGGAATACATTCCTTGTGGATGCTCTGATAAATGCATGTAGATGACCGTGCAAAGTAAATGTGCTGCAGGGTACTTATGAAGGGGAAAAAGCTCAAACTTTTCTTCGTACAGAGAACTTAAGATTCTCCTCCATAAAGTAACGGAACTGGCATTGTGGGCACCCAAATATGGAATGCGTCTGTGATTTCCTTGCAGGTATTTGCATGGAGTTTTGCTGTGAAGTTATTCACTGTTCTTTAAGCTTGTAACATGAAGCAGAATTTTTACTTTTTTAGTTCAGTGAGTCTGTTATTATCTTACCAGTTTAATATCTGGTTGCCCTGAAACTAGTTCTTTGTGATACATCTCTGCAGAACAGCCACCCAAAGGGATCCCATTTTTCTCTGAGTGTGCTGTGAGAGGCGCAAATGAGTGCATTGGAGTGATTTTGAACTGCTGTAGCAGCAAGGGCTGTTGAGGTTCTCTGACATCTCTCTGACATACCCCTGCCCTTGGGGAAGCCTGGGCCTCACAGTTTGTGTCCTCTCTGTACTTGCACAGCATGAACTCTGTAGTCAGGTGATGTTCTCTCGTGAATTCAGTGGGTTCAGAAAGATACTGCTGAGCCAGAACTTGGGCAGCAGTTGTTTGGAAGGTATGGTAGAGAAAGCAGAAATAAGTTCTTTGCTATGCTGGCTTCACAGGATTGGAAAACTGCAATAATTTGACTAAAAGAAGGCAGCAGATTAGGAGGAACATAGAGCTCCTAGGTGACCTTGTGCTCAAGTGCCTTGCTAAAATGAAGTCAGTGAGCTATTTACTGAGAAAAAGATGCATTTTTTTTTTTCAATTTAGTCATTTTAAAGGAGAAATCTCAATCTGCGAAGAAATAGACAAGTACTGTAAATACTAAAAATAGATTAAGCTGTAGCTTTAAACTTTGTTTAACTTGATGCTTCAAAGTGATAAGATATTTTCAAAATTGAGAAGAAGAATGAATCATAGGGTAAAAATAGCAACAGGAGACCCAGAGTAGAATTTTGGGAACACAACAAGTAAAAAACAGTTTAAGAAAAATGGAAATTATTAAATTATACGTAGCGTGGAAAGCCTTATTGTATCAGATATTGCTCATAAATATAGCTGGTAAATATTAGTTTAAGTAGAGGACACAAAGAAAGGGAAACAGGGCTGCATGGTCAGTGATGGAACTTGGTGCGGAACCCAGGATTACCAAGTATGTCAATTACGTTTTCCAGTGGACAAAGTATCTGACAGATATTTTCTAGTTATCTACTTATTTATGTCCATAAAAATATACACAATACCGCTTCAAATTTCTTTTTGGATTTGGCTGAAAGCAATCAGACTCAGCTGTCAGAATGACTGTGCTACGCTTTACAAGTGATACACAAATGTGTGTGATTTTGCTTGTATTCTTCAGTAAAACCTGTTTCTAAGATGCATAACAAAGCACATCCATAGCAGTCAATGAGGCTGTGTTAATAAAGCAGTGGTGTGTGGGCATTAACCATCATTTAGGTGAGCACAGAGTGCCATTAATGCGGTCCCCCTGTGGCCTTCAGCAAGGTCAGCATTTCAATTAAGAGATGAATGAGTATATAAAAAAGTTGTAAAAGCTCAGTTGTCCCTTGGCCCAAGAACCTAGAAGTATTTAGAATCTATCTGGTTACCATTGCAAAGAACAATTGATGAGACTACTCATCTAGCTCTTTCCTTCAATTCTTTCCTTCTTTCTAATTTTCTTTTTATAACAAACAAAAAAAGATTAACTTTCAGTGACTTGTGCCAAGCATTCTTTCCCTCTTTTGCCTTGGAGAGCCAGTCTTGTGTTTCTTTCTCTTGCTGTCTGCTGGCTTTTCCTCTCTTGCACGTGTACATGAGCTTTCTTTACTCTCAGGCATTGGCATGGAATCTACTAAGTGTACATGACTTTAGCTGTCTCAAGATTTGCCTTCAGTGATAACTCCTAATTTTTCTACCTTTCAAGTGAATGAAGAATGAAAAAGATTTATCAATGTGGCATTACAGTGGGCAGTTGTCCAAAGCTCTTGTCTGACAACCTGCATCTATGTGGTAGTCGTGGCTATTGGATGAACTTTTAAAATTGTTTGGATGAAAACTTAATTCACCATCCAAAGAAACCATATTTTTACACTAAATCAGCCTGCAGAATTTCCTTACCCAGGGGCTTCACAACGCTTAGTTTGATGCAAGGAATGGGAATGCAATGTGAAGGAAGGATGAAGAGGGGGGCAGCAGCAGTCCTTTGTGGCAGCCTGCAGTCACACCACATTAGGTAAAATGCACCTGTAGAGGGTAGTTCTGTGGTGCTTAAACTGATGGATGTGCTAGCTGCAAGATCTCTGCTCTCCTCCTCTCCTTTGTTGAATGTATGTTCCCTGCCCCCTTCCTTGTGATGGCAGTGGTACTCATATGATTGAGGACCAACGCAAAATAATTTGTGGAGAGGGTAATCTACATATGGATCATTGGGATCAGCTTCTTCACTCACTGTGGACCTAGGTGCTACTGTCAAGACAATGAAGTGGGTAGGGTAGGACAGGTTAAATTTGTATTAAGCTGCCGTGGAAAAACAGTCTTCTGCTTAAGCTAAAAAAAAGGTGACAAGCACTCCCACAACTTGTGTGGCTTATAAACAAGAGATTAGAATGAACTTCATAATCATCTCTAATCAAGGATCTGCTCAATGATGGCCTTTAGCAGCGTTCTGTGTAATAGGATCTTTATGGCTTACAGGTTTCTTGTTTGTTTTTAAATTCTATTGTTAGAGTCACTTTAGTAAAGAATGGGATCTTTTCCAAAACACTCATGTTGTTTTACAGATTGAATGAAGACTAAATCCCTGTTATTTAAAGGATGTAATATTTTATTCAATTGATTTTAGATTTATGAAGTCGTTTTTGTTATGTCATGTCTTTATATTTGAATGGTCTTCTCAATAGCTGAATATTTCAAATTTATACTAATAAGCTGCAGCAGTGAGAGGTGAGAATGCTCTCTTTGGCTGTTTCCATAAAGGGGTAAAACTCCAGGCTGAAATTTTCTCAACATATTGGTGAAAGAATATGGTGAAGTAGTATCTTAAGCATTTACAGAGTTTCAGTTCTGTAAAATCAGAATCTTTTGCAAATGTAGATGGGGATGGGAGCCTTACATGGTTCAACTTACACTGCTTAATTTAAGTATTACAGGTATGAAGTCCTTTACTGACAAGTGTGTAATTATGAAACACAGTGAGCTCTACAACTGCCATGCTCACAAGTAGTTTGATTAATTGTACATGCTGTATTCATTGAAATTCTAATTATGAAGCAAAAGTTGAAGATTTCAATTGGAAGAATTAAAAACATGTTGATAATTTAGTTCTATACCTACTGAAATAACAGCATTTCAAATTCTTCTTACATCTTTTCTATCCCTACCTTATTTTGCTGCTTAATATACATAGTCAATATGGTTTTGTTTGTTCATAAGTGCCAGAAGTAGATTTTTGGGAAAATTCACCCTGTAGGAGAGAAAATGTAAATAATTTTATGCTATTCAGAGTGCTAATTTCCACTGGTACTCACATAAGTAATATATATTTATAACATCTTTACTAATGCAGACTTTATGCCCAATATTGTACTTAAATTGTTGTCAGCCTAGGAATAAATAAAATAAATTGAAATACAACAGTGCACTTATGCATGCTTCTAAATTGGAAACTTCAGGGTTGTGTAAGGATGTGTGTGTAGCTGGGAATTCTGTGCATTCAGTATTGAAATAACATAACATTTACATGTTTCAAACAAGTCCTCATATCTAACTGTATTCTCACCAGATTTAAGGATTCAGTACATTGTCTCTAATAAAAGATTGGAAATTAATTTACCAAATTTTTGGAAATTTTAATAACTATGTTAAACTATATTAACTATAAATTTCTGTCTGCTCAGCTGTTTTTAATGTATGCAAAACTGGTATTTCAAAGTACAATTTTATCATTTGCTGTATGTTACTATGGAGTCAAAAATTCAATACAGAATATCATATTGTTCAATATCTCCTAAATTTCTCCTAAATAAGGAGCTGGGGCTTGATTTTACATCTCTGTTTTCAGTTCAGTGAGCTTTTTATGTATTCAAGTATTGGTTGGACTGAAACATAAAGCTCTACATTGGATCTCACTTTTTATGTGCATAGGGTACAAAGTATTAGTTTTCACTTCTGAAACTCTTTAATGTCTGTCCCTTCCTAGCCAGCACTGCTCATTCACAGTCAGCATGATTTCTGCCTCTTATTAGCACTTGTTGCTCGTGTATAAATTTTTACACAGGGCTGGAGGGCATTCCTGGAGATGTTGATGCATTTACTTCATCCTCTATCAAAGCTTTTCTGTAAGCTGTTCTCCTGCAGGTGCTGCAAAGCTTGGCTGTGGTTATATGGTAGTTGGTGGAGGCTGTTAAGTGTGTGATTTGGTCTCATTGATTTCCAGATTAATTTCCCTTGTTCCTCTGTGTTTATAGTAACATAATCTTGTCCTATACTTAGGTTATAAGTTTTTGTTATTGATGCAGTTATGTTTTATGTTTTCTTACTATGTACTGATTTAATAAGTTAGACCTCAAGGTTTTGCTTTAAGGCGTATCAGAATAGTTATTTAAATGTACTTGAGAAGACCTTGAATTAGAACTTTCTGTTCTTACAAGCTACTTTTCAGAGAAGAACTGTATTCAAAACTGATGTCAGACTGGGAACTAAGAAAGAGTTTAACTTTACCTTATCGCTCTTTACAGATACCTTAAAGGAGGCTGTAGAGAGGTGGGGTGTTGGTCTGTTCTCCCACGTGCCTGGTGACAGGACGAGGGGGAATGGGCTTAAGTTGCGCCAGGGGAGGTTTAGGTTGGATATTAAGAAGAAATTCTTTACTGAGAGGGTTGTTAGGTATTGGGATGGGCTGCCCAGGGAAGTGGTGGAGTCACCATCCCTGGAGGTCTTTAAAAGATGTTTAGATGTAGAGCTTAGGGATATGGTTTAGTGGAGGACTGGTTAGTGTTAGGTCAGAGGTTGGACTTGGTGATCTTGGAGGTCTCTTCCAACCTAGATGATTCTGTGATTCTTCCTGTACTGGACTCCTACAGTATTGTAAATAAATGGTTATAATGTATTTAGCAGCATTCTTCCTGGTAAATTTCTTGTCTCAGCCACCAAGAATACATTAGGCTGAATTTACAGTGCCAATACTTGAATCATGTTCATTGTGACTGGATGAATTGGTGGCTGAAAGATACATCTCACTCCTTAGTATCTGTGATGTTTAATGCTCTAATTATTTAAAAAATACAAACCAAAATGAGCTTATCAACATGTATCATCTTACTCTTTGCTATGTGTGAAAGAATGGCTTCTCCAAAGCCTGTTACAATAGATGCATGTCCATTGAAGCTGAACATTCCTGAGTATTATGCATCTCGTTTTTTTTTGTTTTCTTTTTTTTTTTTTTTTTTTTTTTTTTTTCAGATTAATCGTGCTCCAAGCTTTGGAACTGATCAAAAAATAGACTACGATGTAAAAAAGGGTGTTCTTCTAAATGCATTAAAGCTTCTCAACATACGGTAAACTTGTCCTCTTTTTTTTAGTCTGGCTGTCCTTCTGGCTTTAAATGTGTTGTTTCGTTTTGTATGTGAACTTATTTATTTATTCTTTGCATTGGACTAATAGAACATGAAAACATTTTTTTCCACCTTCATATTTAGAAAAAGTAAATGCTTCCATTGCTGTCAGTTTTGCTATTGAAATTAATCCAAATTTAACTTTTATTCTTGTTTGTGCTTCCCAAAAACGAAGTGATAATGGTCATTTTAATACCTTTTAAATGGTTTCTCAAACAGGTCTCTAAGTGAGAATGTGAGTGCAGTTGTAGGATATTTGCTTTGGCAATAGTTTCATACACAATCAAAAGATATACTGCTCTATAAGAAAGCCTGGTAGTTGGGATATGCTGAAGAAAATCTGAACTTCAGGAACATAGCTGCAACCATATTTGTACATTATATTATAGTACAGAATTATTATAGTACAATTTAAGGTGTGAAGATATTGTAGCCATAAAAGTTAATACTAAAAAAAAATAAAAAATCTTAATGAGCATTTGACTACTAATTTGTATGTTGTAAACCACATGACTGACTGAAAATTACAGATGATTTACTTCAGGTGAAAGTGCATCTCAGTTGCATTGGGTCAGTTTAAGATGCTTAATTCAGTAGATCTTGATACACCAATTTGAGTTCTGAAAACTGATGTCTGAATTCCTCTTCCTGTTATGTAGCTATCAAAACCTGCATTATGTGAGGGCCTGTGGGAATGAATGTGCTAGATATATTTTGCAATATATTTCATTATAAAAGGTCTTTAACATATCCAGTAGCATAAAGAAACCTTTCCTAATTTTTACTGAGGAATACTTCTCTTTGGACTGACATGCCATATAATATATTTGTGTTTCAGGACAAGTGATAAAAGAAGAAACTTAGCCCAGCAGAAAGCTGAAGCTCAAAAAAGACTGTATGGTCAAGGCTCAATGAAAAAACTGTTGCCAGGTTCCTCAGATTGGGAAAAGCAGCGCCACACACTGGAAAGGAGAAAAGAAGAACTGGTATGATGAAAAAGCGCTATTTCTTGCCCATGGCTTATGTTCTCTTTGTGTTAATTGCCTTACTTTCTTGATTTGTAGAAGGAAAGACTTGCACAAGTCCGTAAACAGATTTCCAAAGAAGAGCATGAAAATAGGCACATGGGGAACTACAGGTAACTGTATTGATTGTATTGGTGGGAAGAATTCAGTTCATTGATTAGGAATATTGGAAACAAGTATTTGTGGTATATGATACGTGTATGACAAAAATAAGTAGGCATTTATAGAAAATATAAAATGTAAACCAGGCAGTATGATTTCTTTCAGATAGCACTTTCTCTGATTCCAAATTTTTGTATGCACTTAAGAATTTAAATGACATCAATCACTCTAGTGTTTGTGCAAGAGATTTGCTTGAAAGATGTGATTGTTCAGTTCTATAATCACGTATGACAATTCTTTTCTCTGGGGTGGAGGACAATATTGTGGTGTTAATATTCCTGCATTATTGTACAGACAATGAAAAATCAAATCTGAATGTTCTCTGTGAAGCTTCAGAAACCTTACATTTGGTAATGGCATTTCAGATACCATATTCATATTTCTACACTTTGATTTTGGATCTCAGTAGACTTAAAATTATATATCTTCAGTTTTTGTGGTAAAATATGTTCAAAAGCCTGTTTTAACTTGTTGGTTATAATTGGCATTGGCCAGAAAACAATATTTTTTTGATGTTTTTACTTTATTTATTGACATTAGCTTCAATGAGAAGTGAAAGCAAGGCCAATGGATATTTGGTGAAAGGGTGCAGGGTACTGCTGAGAAGAGATGTTGGGAACATTCACCCAATCTTTACAACATTCATACAGGATGTAGGAGGTCTAGGCTTCTATCTTTCATTTTGAATTAGTCAGAATGCCTTTACTGCTGTTCTTCTGCTTTTTGAACAGATGTTCTATATTTCCCAGTAAACTCCTTATTTAAACACACAGATTTGTTTTTGTTTTTTCCTTTTTTTGATGAATTAACATCTTGCTAACAGAGACTGTTTGTAACATTCCCAGTTTTAATTACATTCTTTCTTGACATATATAGAGCTGAACTAGTATATCAAAAAACAACACAACGAAGCAGTTATTTTCATATTAGTTGGACTAGAAGAAAGAGAAACACGATGCTTAAAAATGTCTTGGTTTTTCTTTAACTTTAAAGTCTAACTTTTTAACTGATCCTGTTTGAGGTTGCTAATTCAGTTGCGGAATGAAAGTGAGCCAAATGTTCTCTTTATTTAGTCTTTTGGTTGATCTAAATCAATAAAATGCAAACATTTTGTTTTTTTTTCTCTGTAAAAAAATGTCATTTAATGAGAAATGTGCAGATGTAAATAGGCAGAACAGCTGTGTGTTTTCTTAATACCACATGTTTGCAAAAAGGCTGAAGAATCAGCAGAGCCTGAGAAGTAAAGGAATTTTGGCTAGAGATACAGATTTTATCTAAGCATTCTTCAGGCTTTTCTCCTTGTGATGTCCTTCTGCAGAGCAGGACTAGCTTGTCTCAGGTATTGCCAATCTATTGCCATAGATCATGGAAATTTTGGGTCCTAGTATCGCTGTATGGATTAGTGCTTCCTGTGAAGCACTTCCAAAGAAACCTTTATGCCTACACAACTTTTGAATCCTAATCCTATGAACAGTTTTTTTTCCATCAACCTCAGTAGGTTTTGATGTAGGCACTATGCCTACAAGTAGCTTAGTCAAGTGTCTGTCTGCAAGTGCAGCTAGCCCATTGGTTTCATTAGGATCCTGTGGTGTTCAGAATAGGATGCTTTCAAATGCCTCCAAGCACTTGTAAATTTATGAGGAACTGAAAAGTATGTATATGTCTTTGAAATAGCCTTTAACTGTAGTCTATTTCTACATATATTTGAATGTGCTTTCTTTAAAGTAATTGTTCTACAGTACTTTTTTAGCAGTAGAATCAACACCATTAAATAGTGTTGACTGCTACTAGATTAGAGTTTGTGTATGTATGCGAACTGGAGCCACCTTCAGGTTGTAGAACCAATGTGAGTTAAATAGGATCATGTTCAACCTTTTTCCATTGTGACAAAATCATAATGAAAGATACCTTTTCAAGAAAGAAAAGACTGAAAATGAAAAGGAGAGCCTTGTAAAAAGTTCACACATACAAAAAAAACCAAAAACAAACACAACACCAACCACAACAAACCAAACATACAAGTCACATAATGCCAGTTGATATATAAATGGTACCTATGTTTTACACAGTGCAGGCAGAATTATCTTATACTCATTACAGTAAGTTAGAAATCAGTCTCCCATCTCCACCATTTCTGACTGTTTCAGGCATTCATTGCATGGATTGGAGCGGGTTTCTTCAAAGCCCGTTGTTACTTGATGAGCATGAATAAACCACTGAGTCCTGTTTCTTAGATGCTCATAATCTTCCCTGTGATTTTAGAGAAAAATAGCATAGCTGCTGTAATGGAAAACCAGAGTCACCCTGTATGTGCATGTACTAGGAAAAAATAAATTCTTACAACATGTATTTCCTCCTTTTTTTTTTTGTTTTTGAAGATTTAACATTCAAGTGCAGTACATATTGAATCTTTAATGTATTTCATGTCCATTAACTCAAAGCAATTGTTCAGATTTTCATTGTTTTGTGTCCTTTCACTGCTAATAAAAATTATTCTGTGACACTGAATTTTACAAGCAATATTTTGTAATAGTTCATGAATCTTTTACACTTGGGTGTACTGTTCAGACCCACCCTGAAATTTCTGAGGGCACTGGGCCTGTTCAGCCTGGAGAAGAGGAGGCTGAGGGGAGACCTCATCGCAGCCTACAACTTCCTCGTAAGGGGGTGTCGAGAGGCAGGAGACCTTTTCTCCATTAACACCAGCGACAGGACCCGCGGGAACAGGGTTAAGCTGAGGCAGGGGAAATTTAGGCTTGACATCAGGAGGGGGTTCTTCACAGAGAGGGTGGTTGCACACTGGAACTGGCTCCCCAGGGAAGTGGTCACTGCACCGAGCCTGTCTGAATTTAAGAAGAGATTGGACTGTGCGCTTAGTCACATGGTCTGAACTTTTGGGTAGACCTGTGCGGTGTCAAGAGTTGGACTTGATGATCCTTAAGGGTCCCTTCCAACTCAGGATATTCTATGATTCTATGATTGCAAAGCCGTGTTTGCTTACCTCTCAGGAATGACCTGATTGCATTACTTTTTGGCTAATTGTTGGCTTAAACCACGTATGTGTTCACTGAGTTAAATCTAGATTTAGAGAGCATCATTCAGAGTGTATGTTTCATGATATGATATGTATTCCATCTATAGTTATAATGTAATATGCATTACAGAAGACTCTGAATTAGCTGCATTTTGTTCCTATTTGATAAGGAACTCATCTTCTATCTTCCACTTAAACTCAGTTTCATTTTTTTTCCCAACAGGCGAATTTACCCTCCTGATGATAAAACATTACTTGAAAAGTATGAGAGTTTGTTAGCCACTGCTTTCCAGACATTTCTTGCTGGGAGAGCAGCTTCACTTCAGCGGGAAATGAATAACCCTTTAACAAGAATGAAGGTACTGAAGCACAAAAATTGGCTTTAAGTTATTTATCTTGGAATTTATGACCTTGCATATTAGTTTCACAATAATCATGTGTGATGGCTAATAAATAGCATTTGATAATGTTTCCATCATTTTATTATTATTCTTTGTGCAGCTTGTGGGCCAGATCCTTGAATCTGGATGACCTGCAGTGGACCCAGGGTGGAGACAGACTAGCTGGCTTTAAGCTACTTTTCAATTTCCCTGATCCTCAGCCTTACCCCTGGCCAAACCAGAGGTTGGCAGAAACTGCTTATGAGCTGGTAATTGCCTCCTTCTTCCTCCAGTAATGTCCCCAGCCTACTCATCCACTTGTACAGACTGGAATGAGTGATATCTTAAAACCAGCTCTGCTAGTTTAAGGAATCCAAAAATTCTGCCTGATTGCCTATTTACGCAGGCAACGATAGAAAGCAGGAGAGTGGCTATATTTAAAATAACCCAATAATGTGATTTAATTTGAAATCTAAGAAAGAATTTCCCGTCTTTGTAATTGGCATCATTCAGCAGTTTTGCAGGAATCTTGTTCAGCCCTTTCTTCAGACTTTAATAAATGTTAAGACTTGATTTTAACTTTTGATTTTGTGATGATTGTAAAGAGAGATGCATGCGTCAGAAGAAATACTGTTATATCCTCCTTTGGAGGCATTCATAGTCTTATTTTAGGAATCAATAATCAAAGTAATTTCAAATTCCTACCAGTTGGCTCTTGAAGTTCGGAAGAATAGGATAATGCCTTCCTTTGAATTAATCATATTGAAATTCCTGTTTCTAGGAGGAGGACATTTTGGATCTTCTGGAGCAATGTGAAATAGATGATGAAAAACTAATGGGAAAATGTACCAGGCAGCGAGGGCCTAAGGTATTTTACTTTTAGATGCCATATTTTTTAAATTCTATTCCAGTCTGAGAATTTTAAGTGAGCAAATTAGTTAGCTGATTCTGGTGGAAGCTTTGTTCCTCATATTGCCATTAGCTTGTTTTTTGTTTTTTAAATATGAAGAGAAGCATAATTACCTTTTGTCCAGCCAAATCCCATTAAAATTTTAACTGGATGTGGGATTCTTTTCCTCTCTAAGCTGTTTTGAGGAATCGGTGTGCATGGCAACAACTGTTCTACAAGAGACTGCTTCATTTCAGTGTGTGAAATGATCTTTTATATCCATAGATTATCTCAGAAGAATGCTTTGATCTTTAATCGATTAGTGCTACTGAGGAATTTTGAGATCATGGGATAAAAGGCACTATGGAAGCTCAAAGGATTAATTATGATTATGATGTATCTGCAGCTTGCTTACTAGCTAAAAGGGTCATACGATATATCTTGAAGCCAGTTTCATATCCAAAATCTGATTTTAAAGTGAATATACTTTATTTTTAGCTTAATACTTTCTGCTTGTGCACATAGTTCATGTGAGTTTTTGCCTTAAATACACTGTGTCCCTCTGCAAGCCAGTAAAGATGAATAGTTTGGGCTTAGCTTAAAGAGGTGTGTTTACTATATCCTGCAAACATTTTATGTCAAGTCTGCTTAGAGGAGCCTGCTTTTAAGTTCCTGACATGTAATAGATTTAAGTATGCATGTAAATTTTTTTTACAGCATTTTATGTTTCTGAGAACATGGTATACAAGTCTTGGTACAGGTGAATTTCCTTACAAAATGAATACTGACGATTGTCCCGGGCTTGCAGGGCTACTAAACATGTGTGCAAGAATCTACATTTTTATACAGGTGTGCATACTGGAAAGATAATTGGTATATCCATTCTAGAGTTTTGTGAGCCAGTGCTCTAACAGTTGCCAACTCATTTAAATAAGACAAAACAAAAACAAAAAAACAAACAAACCAAAACAAACAAACAAAAAACCACATCCGGTCCACCCTGGCAACACACTCAACCCACATTCTTCAGGGCTTGGTTTTCAGTTCTTTAAAATAGTGTCACTTAATTCAAGCTTAACATCCCAATCACATGCCTGTTTCCAGAAGCCTGTCTTTTCCCAGCAGCCCTCAAAGAGCATCTATCTGGTTGACTGTATGCACACACAGATGATAAGCTCTACACTGGTTGCACAGAAACCATTTCCAAGCTGGAGGCCATAAACATTAATAGAGTACTGAACTCAAACTGAAAAACTTCTTTTAAGTAGTTTTAAGTTGAATTCTCAATTTCTGAGTGAGATTATATGATGTGGTCTTCTTTTATAGTAGACAAATTAATTCTGTAGCTTAGAAGCTGTTACATCAGATCAACATTGCATTAATAGGACAGAGAAAAAATTCTGCATATTGCAGAATTCCCACTTGTTGCCTTAAAATTTATGAGATCAAATGAAAGGGAAATGAAACTAGCTTATCGAAGGAGGTTGTTTCTTTTCTTTGCAGTGTACAGACTCCATGCTGTACAGGATATGCATTCCTGCATCTTTTTCTTAGGGTCCTGGTATACTTCTCAATCCTTTAAGCCATACACACAGTGAAGGCATGTGACTGGGGACTTCTCTAGTTGTGTAATATCCTATGCAGTCCCTTTGAAATACGGATGTCTGTTTCGGATGGTCCTTGTATCTTGCACCAAAAGAGTATCACCCCTTTCCTTTAAGGAGTAAGGTGAATATAGGTAATAATGTGCATTTGATTGGCTACCTCTTTGTATATCATACCTCTATGATATACATGGTGTCTAATATCTGTCTGTATATAAATCTGGTGAGGTAGGCAGTATAATTTACTATTGCCTGTCAATCTATCAGGTAAAAGAGTAATCTAGTAGTAAAACTAATCTTTTGTAAGCATGAAATACTACAAATAAAGATCCATTTGGGTATCCAAAAAGTAACACAAGCAAGATCTGATAGTCAAAACAAACCAGTACATCTCACCTCAAGTCCTGTTAAATGAAAGGTTCTTTGGGAAGGTCATAACATGCTGCCCTCATTTAACCTTTAGTGGCTGGCCTGCTGACAGAGGCTACTGTTTAGGAAGTCAGATGCTTTGCCTTGGGCACACTCTCTTCCTTGGAAAAACGAACAGTTAGGACTCTGTGCAGCATAGTTGGAAAAATATGAAGAGAGAAGAACGTTTTCCTCTTGATCTTCCTCCATACACATACATGTATTTGAAGGGTAGAGGGTGTGTGTTTGTGTAAATAAATTTTGCATGTAAAAACAATTCCATATTTGCTTGGAGGCAATTTTTGTCTGCAAGTAAAATATTACTGAATTCTACCTAAACTGAGAAATTATTTCTGGAAATGTCTGGTTTATTTGTAGCCTCTAGAGGGCACCTTATACTCGCACACTGTAAGGTTTACTCTGCCATGTTTATTAAATTGCACCGGTTCTTTGTGTAGGAAAAAGAAGTAAGGAAACAAAATAACATAGGTATTTTAGAGGAAACAAGTAATTACTTTTATTTTATTCTTCTTATATAAAATCAGATGAGTCTAATCAAACAAAAACGAGGTTAGCATAAGGGGAAAATCAAGGTGATTAGAATTGCTATGGATGTGAGTATTAAACTTTTAAGTGGTCAGTTTAAACCCAGATCTGGCTATTATTTGTCTTCATTGCTTTCTGTAATTTCTTTGACTTTTCCTTTTATTCTTCTAGGTTGATTGATGCAAAGTCTTAGTCTGTTCTTATTGTTCATTGCAAAAAGTGTTAGAAACATGCATATGATAAGAGGAAATAAGATCTACTTTAAAATCCCTGTGATTTTTAATTGAAATTATTTATTATTTCATGTATAACTCATCCAGAATGTCTAATCAATATATTATTTCTCCATGATATGTACCATTTCGGGATTGGGATACCTAGTTTTGAGAAAGCAGTAGGTGTTGAGGCACCTTAATTTATCCTTTTGGCAGGTAGATAGACATCAAAATACTATTTTTGTAATTTGAACATTGCCAGGGAATTGCCAGGGAAAAAAACAAACAAACAAAAACAATTGCCACAGTGGAATATACTTCTTTAACTCGTCCTTATCCAGTTTGAGAGCTTGTGCTTGCATAACCATACTATCACTGTTAAGTTAGTGGGAGAAATCTCTTTCCTTCCTTGCCTGGAGTAGAAGTTTTTGTAGGATATGTTTATTTGTAAAATATCACCCTTCGCAGTAAATCTTTGTGCGTTATATTAAAATAATGAGGCAATTTAAATTCATCCTCAGAGTTTCTTCTATTTCAGACTGATCCAAAAGATGTTCAGAAATTACAGTATTTTTTTAATGTGAGACTTAATTTAATTAGGCAACTAGGAAGATGAAGCCATTGTCATAGCTTCTTACAGCTGACCATTACTGGAATGAAAACTTAGGAAAAATAATTACCATATGAGACCTCTTAGGTTGATAGATATAATGGTGGACACTGCATTTTACTTGTCTGTCTCGTTGATGTAAGAAAAAAACCCCACGTCATTTCTGTTCTTGCATCAGTTTCTCTGTCTCCTACTTTTTGCTTTTTATCTTACATTACTCTTGGTAATAGCATGAGATTAATTACCTGATGAGACTGAATCCCATGTACATATGGGATGCCAAAGGTACCTAGCATAGCTTTCTATATCCCTCCAGATTCTGCCTTCTACAGGATGTGGATTAATCACTTTCTCTTTCAGAAGTGTACCAGACAAAGTTCCCTGATGATTACTTCACAGCAATCACTGTTACAGAACACCTTCAGTTATTGCAAATATCACTTAGGGATTGCAACTGATTGCAAATGGTGTTCTGTATAATTTGATTCACTGTTTTAAACTATAATATATATCAGGTAGTGTAAATCCTACTTGAAATAAACTAACATTTTTGCCTTACTATATTATGCTGATATTTTTATGAGAAAGTTTGGAATTATTGTGTCATTAGTTTAATAAGGTACTAAAAAATTTGAGATAGCCTTAATATTTACAAATGAACCTCCCTGAATCAGAGACATAACGTGATAGTAAAGTGTTCTTTTGGGATTATAAAGGAATTTATTTTTTTTCATTTATTTATTTTGCTTTAGCCCTTGTATTCTATGCCAGAAAGTGCACAACCCTTAAGAAAACTTAAGAACTACAATAGTGATAGCAGCTGTGATAGTGGTAGCAGTATGTCAGAGTCGGGAGAAGAAACTGAAAAGGAAGATCATAATGAAAAAAAAGAGAAAAAAGTATCATATGATCTTGAAGAAAATAAATATAAGTCCTTGGAACGATCAGGTAAGTTAAGTTACCACATTTTTAAGTCTGGTCTTACATGGTGAATTATATAGAATGCTTGAGTATTTCAGAATATATCAACAGTCATAGCTCAGAGTTAAACAGTGGTTTGTTCATTTAATCTTCTTTAAAATCTTTTCTAAAATAAATAAAAAAAAAAAAAAAGGAAAAAAATATGAATATTTTTGACAAGAATGCCAAAGGGAAAAAACACATTTGGATGACAATTGAAAATGGTGTGAATTTACTCTTAGTTTTTTTTTTTTTTATAAGATTGTTATTTTTTCCTTGTAAAATAAAGTTTCATTAAGCTTGAATTTGCTGGAATATAGAACGGATACAGAAATATATCTGTATATATATGTTTCTGATGAGATATTTTCTTGCTTACTGTAGAGTGCTAGTGTGACTGTGTTCTGTTGAACATGGTAGATACGCTTTTTTATTTTTTATTTTTTTAGAGGTGTATTGTGTCAAAGAATTTCGTCATTTAATTACACAAATACTTCTAAAGTTTTATTTTTCATAGGAACGTCCTTTATTTAGCAGGAGGCTGAATTGAAAAACTTTACAGCTGGACAGGAGCAGATGAGTTAGACCAGGTCTACAGATATGTGTTCCTTCAACTACATTTTCTCTTTCTTCCATATTCTTCTAGTCAAGAAGACTAACATAGTAGCCACATGCTTTTTGACCCATAGGGAATATGTACTCTGTCTCAAATCTGATGCATGGATCGGAGTCCACCTGATTAAAGCTGACTATGAGGGAGAAATAAATGTTCTTATAGAATATATATAACGTGTGTTATTAGAGGATCTGACATGAATGACTACGACATATAAAATTGTTAGTCAATGTAAGTTATTGTACAATGGATGTAAATGTGATAGTCATGTGTGTTGTTAGTTACAAAGACTGAAAAATGGGTGTAAAAAGACTAATAAGTAATTGCATCATTTCTTTAATTTGTCTGCAGGTAGAATGAACTGGAAACCTTCAATTAAAAATATAAAATCTCCATCATATTCACCCTCCACATCATCTGCAGGTCCAATAAGGCGTTCTGTAAGCTGCCCTCGTTCTATATCGACTATGCAGTCACATGAGCAGCGTCCCTTCTCAGCCAAAGCATCTCTGCAAGTCCAACGTGCATCCTCAGTGAATAGGGCCCGTTCTTTAAATTGCAGCCCATCTTCATCCAGAGTCTCTCAGACATCCAGCCTGGGCACTATGAATTCTTCGGGGGTGAGTTAGCAGAGCAGTTACCTTCAAAAAATGTTTCATTTCTCTAAAGCTTTATAAATGCCTTAATAATTTTTACAATGTCAGAAATCCTGATGTACAGGATTTTGATGTATAGTCAATTCTATTTTAACAGAAACTCAGGAATGTAAGATCTCCACATCTCTACATGTCTTACAGTGAGTGCTAGCTGTGATGTTCCAGTGTTTCTGGTGCAGCTATACAGATACCACATTTTATGAAAATGGAAATCTTAGCTAGGGCCTTTGTGGCTTAGAAACCCTCTCTCCTAGGCAGGTTTTTTTTTGTTTGTTTGTTTGTTTTTGTTTTCTGCTTTAATGGTAGAAAGTTATTACTTTAGCATGAAACTCTTTAAAAAGTTTCTGTAGTTTGTTTGGGGACTGACGGTTTCTGAAATAAGGATCTGCCTACCTTCAAAATTTTTACAGTGACAAAAACACATCAGTGCTTGAAAAACAGTGTATAATCCTAGGATAAATGCATAGTATCAGATCAAAACATTAGTAAGGTTTTGTATGGCTCTTCATTGAAGATGTAATTACTTTGCAGCCTACTGTACCTAATTCAAATCAACTGTACCACTGCTCTACTTCCAGAGTTAACAATTTAAAATTTATAGGCAGTTCCATGTCTTCCTTAGGATTTACTAATTTGCTGTTGGAATAACAGTGTCAGAAGCCTATTTTTATTTTTTTAAGTGAAGATAAAACTACTTTCATTTTGAAGCCTGTCCCTGAGGAAGGCAAACATTTAGATCTGCATGGTCCAACTAAGTAATTAATAGAAAAAGCAGATCTTATTAAATAAAGATTTTTAGCTGTTTAGAATCTGTGTGCTAATATTTTACAGGTGTATTTCTGGAATATACCTTTTTTTTTTTTTTTTTTTCATTGCTTGCATGGTGGACCACTTGCCCCCAGGCAGTGTTTGCTGGATCTGTATCCAGCCTAATTCAGTATAGTATTGAGTGTTTGTGCCAGTGTGTTTCAATTCGTCCTTTGGTGGCTGACCCGTATATTTCATCACCCAAATAATTCATCTGGAGAGAGGGCAAAACAAATTGGCACTTCTAACCCACCCTTGCAGCCTTTCTCCATTGTGTTGAGTTTTGATTTTGAGAAATCCTTTTGTAATGCTAATTAACGTGCTTCATAGTATTTACTGTCTCTAATCATCATTTTTATCCGGTAGAACACACATTGTCTGTTTTGCCTGTGAGGCTTTGTCTAAATGATGAAAAAGAACCCTTTTAAAATTGCGTGCTGACATCTTGCAAAATACTTCTTAACATGGTTTTCCATCTTTAAAGTCAGCTAATAGAATTGGGAAGACATTAAGATTTTGTCTTCACCACAACAAGTTAAAGGTATTTTTTATCACACTAGCTTTCTCAAGTTTAAAAAGTACCCTTTCATCATCAAGATGTATTCCGAGAGTTTAATGAGACAGACTTAATATAGATTTTTCTACTCACATTAACTCTATATCAAATACAAATTACTGAAAGATTAAAACCAGTCTCTTACCGTATGACATTAAAAATGGGCTGCTCACTTAAATTAACATTAGTAAGAAACTGTACATACTTTTTCATTGAGAAAGCTGTACTACAGAAGTGATCTTGATATGCAGATCTATTATGTTGGGTGATAGAGCTTGGGTCATGTTTCTTAAAATAATGTGAATAAAATTACTTACAAAATTGATAAGAACTACTCATAATTTAGCACTGTATTGTGAATGGAACTCTGTTCATAATTATTTTTGCAACTAAGAATAATATACTATATATTACTGCTAGAATAAAATTGAAATTGATAAACTATAACTTACTAAGAAGAAATAATTTGTACATGCTAAAGTGTTAGTTTTTCAATCCTTTGGGCAAGCAAAAAGGGAGTGTATTGCCACTTTTGGAGGCTGGTAAGATCCAAATATACTAAAGGCATGGAAACTAAGTTTAGAATAAGCCATCTCATGAGACCCAACCTGGAGTAACGCATTGAGCTCTGGGGCCCCCAGCGTAAGGACATAGACGTCTTGGAGGAGGTCCAGAAGTGGGACACAGAGGGGACACAGATTATCAGAGGCTGGAGCACCTCTCCTATGAAGACAGGCTGAGGGAGTTGGGGTTCTTCATCCTGGAGAAGAGAAGGCTCTGGGGAGACCTTGTAGCACCCTGGCAGTACCTAAAGGGGGCCTACAGGAAAGCTTGTGAGGGACTCTTACCTGGGAGTGTAGTGATAGGACAAGAGGTAATAATTTTTAACTGAAAGGATTTATATTAGACATTTGAAATAAATTCTTTACTATAAAGGTGGAGAGAGACGGGAACAGGTTGCCCAGAGACGCAGTGAATGCCTCATCCCTGGAAGTGGCCAGGCTGGATGAGGTTTGTCAACCTTGTCTGGTGTGAGGTATCTCTGCCCAGGGCAGGGGGTTGGAACCAGAAGATCTTTAAGGTCCCTTCCAACCCATGTGATTCTATGATTTACATTTGGGAATTACAGACACATTTTATAGCAGTTATAATCAAAAATGGATTTGTAAATATTTGCTACCTTATCATTTCAGCTGCATTATTCTATTAAAATATTTTCTTATGTTTAAAAATATTCTTCACCTACTTAAGCAAAAGTATCCTTAAGTAATGAAGTTCTTACAATATACAAAGATTTAGAAATGCCTAACAATTGAATTTCATTCTTGGAAAAAAAAACAATCAACACTTAAAATTAAGCCCACGTAATTTTGCACGGACAAAAATATGCAAAAGTAAAGAAAAAGGATCAGAAATACTTCTAACTATGTTCTAGATTTTAAAAAGCAAACCCCAAATCCTCCAGACACGGTCTAATCTCAATACTTTATGGTTTCATGCTGTTGGCATGAAAAACACTGATATTTTAAACAGTACCCTGAAAAATTGAAAGCAATGTGTGAACCCCACTTAGCAGAATTGGAGCAAAATGTCCCTACTTTTAATATAACTGGCATTTTCTGTTAAACCATAAATTAAATTTGTCACAGTGCAGAACTGAAATGAAGTTTATTATTATTAATAATTTCTGTTCATTATATTGAATTTAATTTCCAAATTTGTTGTCCACATTCCAAGTGTATATTTTAAATGGTGGCATCATGAATATCTAATATATATTTGCTTATCTTTTTTCAAACAAACATGCATTCAAACTCTGATTTTCTTGCGTTTATTGAGAACTAAGAGTAACCCTGGTGGATTAATGTGCAAAGCATACTTGTGTATATTAGGTATGTATTAGATACTACATTTATACACTTTATAAATGCATTTTATACTACCCTGTTTAGAGGTGTTTGTTTTTTTTATTTATCAAGGAAATATCTTTGCTCCTATTATGTGATCTAATAGCACACCTGGATTTTTTCATCTATTTCATATCTTTAGAATGAGTCTTTGCTGCAACAGAAAACGAAAGAGCAAGAAGTTGCTCTGACAAAAGAGACTCTACTCATTTTCAATGACATGAGAATGAAGTTCCCAGGCAAAACGGATGAAGAATCAGAATTAATTATAGAAGATGTAAGTATCTATAAATAAGAAAGAAGAATTACAAGCTAGATAGTGCTTAAGCCACTAAAACGAAGGAAAGTAGAAAGTTCAATTTATGATACATGAGCTCCTGTGGCCTTAAAATGTCCATAACTCAGGATAATTGAAAAGATTTCAAAAGCTTGGAGCTTTGCATGCTTTTGAGCTTTAAAGAGCAGCACTGAAAACATTCTTATGTCTCCATAACATATATGAGAAACAATCAGAAAGGTTAGGAAAATACAGTTTATCATTGTATGGAAAGTTCAAACTTTTAAGTAAGCTAAGAATAATGTTACAATTCATTAACAGTTTATATTTCATCTGATACTGTTAGTGCAGATCCTGATGTGTTTAATTTGCTTTTGAATAGGCATACTGGAGAACTCAAAACAGTATGCTGGAAGCTTGCTGGTCATAAGGAACACCATTCATACTTTTTGGCTCTTCTAGTCTTCCAACTTGTGTTTTCTCATATCCAACATTGTTCTGAGCCTCATCACGTCAAAGAAATGTGAAACAATCCCTGATCTAAAGTGGAATTAATAAGTGATGCCTAATATATAGATAAGATACATAAGCAAAAAATATATGGCATTTAAGTATCTTATAAATATCTAGTGCAAAGAAACTAACATCAGCTTGTGAAAGAAGAAAATAGAGAAGTTCTTTTCTCAATCTAGTAGAAATATAGAGGGATCTAGTCATTTAAATTAACACCTGTATTCTGATGTAGTAAGCACAGTCCATTGTGTTAGAATTCATCAAACTAATTCATTATCCAGTTGGAAATGCCCTTTGTTCTGCAAGCTTGCAAAATCTTAGAAATGTGTTGATTGTCTCCAGTAATCTGTGTGATTACATCACAGTGGAAAGGAATTGTATTGTCCTGTGTTAATGGTTGATTTATGTGATTCTAGGAGACAGCATTCATAAGTAGCATGTTTAGTTTCTTCTTCCTAGAAGTAGAAATAAAATCCTTCATTAAATTTTCTCTCTCTGAAATGGGGAGCGTGTGTGTGTGTTTATTTATATATGGGAGTATGTGCGTTTGTATATGCACTCCATCTAGTGGTGCTTTTTAACACAACAGTAGCATGATTATAAATGCACTTTCTTATTGCAGAATTCTCTTATGGCTTTAACCAATTTTTGTTGGTAAATAATGTTTCATCATGGAAGGAAACAATCGTATATTAGTTGTCAGGCAGTACTTGTCATAGGTCTAGAATACAATAGAAAGAAAAAATGAAATTTAAAATTTATGTTAACAGCTCAACCTGTTTTGTTATTAGACATCATAAAAGAAGAGTATTTCTCAATCACAATATTGCAGTTCACATGATTATTTATATAAATGTTGAATGAATTGTTTTCAAGATATGTCTAATGTTCTTTATGAAGCAAAAAAATTATTATTTGATTAGATAAATAGTTATGCGTTATTAAACTCCTGTTGCTGTACTGAAGGAATCACAACTGTGTCAGTCAAGATGAGCTTTCTGCTTTGTAGTGTAGGACTTTCAAAATCAGGTAGAAAAGATGGTAGGATTAATTACAAATGGTCCCCTATATAAATTTGCAAATCTTTTCTTTTTCTCTTAGAGAAAACTTCTTTTCCCAGGCATCTTTTAAATACTCACACTTTTTAGCATGAGGAATGTCTGTGAATGAAATGCCAGATTTTGATTGTTTCTGTGCGTATTTTTTTTATCTTGTGTTTTGAAATGACTACAGATAATGGATAATTGGAAGCATCATAAAACAAAAGTGGCATCGTATTGGTTGGTAAAACTGGATTCTGTAAAGCAACGAAAAGTAAGTGATACAGATTTCATTTTCTCAAGATTATCTGATATAGACAAATGGCTGTGTGTGTACTGGTGTTTAGCAGTAGCTGGGAGTGATTTGACATTACAATATTGGCTAGTATCACTAACATACATCTATGTATGAATTAAGTCCATTGCAGGAAAAGATGATGCTCCATGTTTAGACATGCATAATTGTCCTGAAATGTAATTGCAAATAAAAATCTTTAAAAATAAGGCTGGTGAAAGAAGAGCAAACAATGAACAATTACTGCTGATACAAATATTTCTGGTCTGAAATTATGGACTGGTTTATTAACACTCTCTTAGAGTTAGTACTATTAAACTTGATTATTTGGATCTTTGACCCACAGTATTAGAACAGGTCACGTTAAAAAAAAATGTACTTGCCAAGCAAAGATTATTATCATTGTTAGTGTTCAACTACCTGGTTTAGTCTTTCAAAAGCTAAGTAGATTTGTTTACCATTCTGTCTTTGCATTTCTGCTATCTAGTACTTGGCATTGTGCATAGTACCTAAACAATTTTTAATCTGTTTAAAAATTGACATGCTGTAGTATGTCATTCATATCTATATGTCATAACATAACATCAGTCAAAATCATCTTCCCAGCGTAACAGTCATTTTCCTTAATGTAGAAGAAAATTTATTTGAGAGTACTGTTAATACTTTGGTGACCCTAAAGCAATATTTGGGTTTTTGTCTCAGTCACTGCCACATTATGTGGATTAGCATATCTGTTCCAGGCATTTAATCTCTGTATTTCTCAGTTTCACAATCTATTTTTATAGACCATAAAAGAAAGCAACTTAATAAAAATGCTGCACACACGATAAATATTATCGTTGGAAAAGGTTGGTTGATTATTATAGAAGAAGAGAAGAAAAATTTTGGGTCCTCATCTCAACTGTTATAAAATCAGCATTATGATCCTCAGTCTTTCGAATTGTATCTTATTCAACATAGCATTAAATGCTTTTATTTCCATACTGGACAGAGAAAACGTTAATTAAATTTGATGTCATATGATAGAAAAATATTTGACTATTTCAGTTAAATTATCAAGTTCAGATATTAAAGGGAATATGTATCTTCACGGTCTTTTAAAACTAAATTAGACATGATAAACTTGACCATGTAGGAGGCTATAACTTAACCAAAATTATTCTTTAACTGTGTCAAGTGGCAACAATATAACAGCAGAATTCTTTCTTGTGCCATTGACTGGAATCAGTAGAGCAACCATCTTCATTGGCTGAAATTGTGTAATTTTTTGATTCATACCTAGAAATTTTCTGGCTAATAGTCCTTTGCTTAAAATGATCTAATTTTAATTACAGGAAAGAGTGTTGCAATCCCAATATACATGCACATAGGTCTTTATTACTGTCTGCATGGGGCAGCTGTAGCCTTTAGTCCAAATCTGGAGAGAGGCTTAGTGAGGGCTTTTAGAAAACGGTCATGTGGAGGAAGAACTGCTGGGAAGAGGGAGGGCCAGAGAGATAAATACATAGCTAACAGGGCCCAAAATGCACACTGTGGATATGCAGTGAGGATCTCATTTTCAGCAGAAATCATTTTCAGCAGAATTGCCTCCTTTAATCTATGCAGCCATGAGTGTAGATAGAGGTTGCTGGATGGGGCCCCTCACTGCAGCTAAGATACAGGGCTTTCAGAGAGGACTGGTTAAGGTATCTTGTTTATTATTTCTTTTTCTTTTTTTTTTTTTTTCTTCTTTTTTCCCCCTTCTTTTCTCTTCTTTCTTCCCCCTTTCTCTCCTCTTTCTGCCCTTTTCTCTCATTCCTGTTTTCCCTTTTTCTCCTCTTTTTTTTCTTCTTTTGCTATATATTTTTTTCTTTTTCCTTCTTGTCAGAATTTTCTTCTGTAAGCATTATTTCAGAAAGTCTGCAATAAAAGGGTAGTGTTGTCCTTTATTTGACTGACAGTCATGTATAGCCAAGGGCACATTAACAAAGTCAAGATCATACAGGTTGATATGCCAAGTCATTAGTAAAAACTACACAACCAGAAATGTGGATTTCTTTGCTGTTCTTGTGAGGACATCTTTTACAACTTGTGAGACTTAATAGTTCCTGAAGCGCTAATGGGCTCTTCATCTTTGGTTGCACTGGTAATAATTTTTTTTTAAAACTGTTTTTAACCTCAATCCTTTCAAGCATTTAGATAGTTATTCTTAGAAGGGTAGTTTTTAAAAATGGATTAACTTTGACAATGACATTGCAGCTCAGGACTGTCAAATGTGTAAGCTTTTGTTGATTTGGAAGAAGCATGTTTTATATTCCAGTGGGGTGGGCAAAGCAGAAGAAAGCTCAAGGTGAAGAATATTTATGCAAGTAAGGAGTCTATCTCAAAGGTACTTTCTGTAACTTTGTGAAATACAAAACAGAAACTCAATCCCCTTCACTGTACTTTAGAATAACTGTGAAACTCTAAAACATGAGGAGAAAATACCTGGGCAATGTACTAGATTTCACAGTGTTCGTACCTGACAGCTCTATTTTCTAAAGTATTATTGTACATGATGTAGAAAAATTAAACTCCTGCTCATATTCTCAGTGTCTAACGTTACAACGTTACAGCAGAGGTAAAGGACGCGTTTAGAAGAAAGTTGAGAGTATTCCAATAAAATCAATGCATTCTAAAATGAAATTTAGACTCCCAAGACTTCTAGGAAAAGGAGACTTCTGTATGGAAGGAGTTGTGACTGTTTTGTTTTGCATCACTTTACATAATTTCTTTCAAATCTGTTTTGATGGTTACCAGAGGGTCTGTACATCTTGTTTTGAATGTACTCTTTTATAACATCCTGTTCTGTTCTGTCTAAATAATCGGTTATGTTGATGATGCAAATTAACGTAAACAGAAAAATGAAGGCAATCTAGGGATATTAGCTCAGAAAAGGGGGAATGTAGGTTCCATAAGTTCCAGCCCTTGTGCAATGCCTTGTCTCTTTTTCTTAAATGGATGATCGAGGCTGTGTTTGCAAATTAAGAACAATTAACTGAGATGATTTCCCCTCTGGCATGCTGGCAATGTCAACACAGTAAAAACAGAACAGAAGATTTTTTTTTTTTTCCTTATGTTACCTGGCAGTCTGCAGCTTTGCTTAAAGATGCAAGGCTCTGTCTTTAGTTTTTGTTAACTCCAGGTGCTAAAGTAAAATAAAGAGGTCTGCACATTTAATATTGTACTTCATAGTATGTGTCTTTTACACTAGTGAGTTAGAGAGTTACATTCCATGGAATTGTTCTGTTTTACCCATGGAGACAAATGACAATTAGTCAATGTAGCATTGCAAAGAAAGGTACAGTTGAGCCTTTATGTAATTAGGGACTTTAGTGGCCGTTTTTTTTGGCCATTTTTTTGGGTAAGCCTTAGACAGGTGAGGGGAGGCACAAAGGAAAGGCTGCCTGATGAGCATTAAGGCAAGTAGGGTCATGCTGTTAAGAGAATGTTCTGAAAATCCAATTTCTTCCTACAAGTGGGGAGCAGTCCAAAAATGGTTATAGCTCCTGCAGTCACTAAATGGGATCACTATCCTTAGTGAATAATTTACTACTCTTTCCAACTCACTCTTTGGGAGGAAGAGATTGTAGGCATGCTTTTAGTGTTAGACACCTGCATTCATAAAGATTCCCAACAGAGTGGACAGCATTATATTCCCATTGAGTAATTGCATGCATGGAGTTAGCAGAAGGCCTATACATGCAGGCAAACCTAGATCTTCAAAAAAGAGCTTAAATAAAATGTAAATGATGTATTTCATTATTAATCATTTACAGGTTTTCTGCCCACTAAGCTCTGTACTGTAAACTGTTACTGTGTTCCTGCAAGCATTTTGCTTATTTTTTTGCATTGTTTTGTTAGTTTGGTCTAATAATTCTGTTTATAAACAACAGTTTGCTATGCAGGACCAAACAAATTGAAATTCTATACTACTGTTTTTACTAAATCTCCTTCACCTTTTGAGAGTCAGATATTCAACCATATGAATCCATTTGTCATACGCATCTGACAGTTTCCTGGGAAAATATTGAGTGAATAAAGCATAGAGTGCCAGTGAGGGGCCTAAATACTACTTCAGTATTTGGGAAAGGACTACTTCCTATTCCTGGTTTTCATGACAGTATCTAAATAAACAGAAGTCAAGGTGCTCTGCAGCCTGTTTCCCCCCAGAGACTATGGAGGGAACTTAAAAGACTGACTTAAGAGAATTTACAGATTTAAAAACAAGTGTGGTGAATCCCACCTTTGTGTTCCAGTTCAGTGGGGTGTGCAAAGGTATATCAAATAAGAGCCTGGTGAGTTGGATGTACGGCTGCCTATGAGTGTCTGAGTAGCTCAGACTTCCTGGGTAAAAACTCTGCTCCACTGAATGCAGCTTAGAAGCTTCTTTTCTTTGCTCAACATCTTTACACATTTGCATGTAAATATATTAAAATATATTAAATGTATATAATAAATCTATTTAATTTCTATGCACAATAATGTTTATAAAATCTTCCTGTTTCTTTTTCCTTATTTATTTATTTTACTACCCTGTTTACTGCTAAACCAAAATAGTTTGATCTCGGGTAATGCTGAGTTTCAATGGGTATTAAACCAAAAGCAGCTTTAGCTTTTCAGGACATTCTAGTTCTTATAAAGTAGCTGGTATGTTAAAAAGGGAGGGGGAAAAGAAGAAGAGATAATCTTCAAGTATATAATATTTGGGTTGTTAATTATGTTGCTTTTAGTCTCTAATTGCATCCATTTTTGTTTCCTTTTAAATGTTTTTTGTCATTTAAATTAGCTAGTATTCAACGGACTAAAAAAATAGGAAAGCAATAAAAATAAAATATTTTGATTTAGTTTTCCAAAATGTTATTGACAGAAAAAACGTCTCATAAAAATTTGCTGATGCATTCACAGAAATGAAATGTAGACATGTGAGAATTTATAGCTATGCAGTCAGCTATGTGTGCAGTGAATCAGAGAACAGTTGGTTTTAGGTTTTGCAATCTGCCTTTGCTTTGACTTGATTCAAGTACTCTTTCTTAGCTTTTGGATATAGTCAAGACAAGCGTTCGTGCAGTCCTCCAGCATGTCTGGAAGGCTCCAGACATTGAAAACTTACATCTGTACCGTCTCTTTAACCGTGTATTTAATCGCTTACTTTGGAGCCATGGTCAAGGCCTGTGGAACTGTTTCTGTAATTCAGGGTAAGCCCATTTTACTTATTATTTTAATCTTCATAATTTCACAGCTACAAAGACTGATGGCATACTTTGTTGCTCATTTTCATTTAAAAGAATGCTGTAATACATTGAACTTGTTTTAAAACAACATAAAGACCCAGTATAATCAGAAATCTAATAATCTAGGCTAACCGTTTCAGTAATGGAATAGGACGTTTAGTAAGGTTTTTACAAAGATAATAATCTAAGGAAATAAACTAATTTTCAAAACAGCTGAGCTTTTGTTTGACTCTTTCAATTGGATATTCCACAATTTTTAGGCGTCTGGCCTGCAATGTGAAATGTGGATTTACCCTGTACAAAATCATAATCATCTTCAGACTTGCAAGGGAAAAATTCTGTCACAGGTGCAGCTGATGTCTCTTGCCAAAAGCAATATCAGTTCTGTGATTTACAAATAATGAGTTTGAATTTTTGTGCTTGATTACATTTGCTGTTTCACACACTGGTGGGAATTTAAGTATATGCAGACTAGGAAACATACACATTGAGGTAAGCAGATGATTTTGGTTTGGGTTGCAAATAAAAATTTTCAATGGAGAGAAAAAGGATGAGGCCATATTTAAAAGTCCAGTATCCTATACTTCAAAATGGACATTCCTGAAATCAGTGACATTCATGTAAAGACAGATCTAGAGAAACAGATAATTGATATGAAGCAATCTCCCCTCTGAACTTCTTGATAAAATGAAAACAGGAATGTGTAAATATGAAATATATTGCATACAAAAAGACATTTTCTCTGTAAGTATATACAATGTATAAAGTACAGAAGGGATTTTGAGTAGCTTTAATAAGTTATTTTAAGAAATTTATTAAAAATTAACTGCAGGAAACACACATAGTATGCTGATGGCTATTGTATGTACAAAGGAATCAGTTCAACATATTCTTCACTTATAGTCATTTGTCATAGGTAGAGAATGAGTGTAGTGCACTTGTCAATTGTCTCCTGGCAGAACAGAAAAATGTGCTAACAGTGAGGGATCTGAGAGTATCCAAAGGGTCATCAGTTTGTTTGTTTGTTTCTTTTACTATTATCTTCGTCATTGTGAAAGGTTTGTTTTTGTGTGAGCTGTTGTCGTCTTTTTTTTTTTTTTTTTTTTCATTGACATGGGCTGCAGGAACATGCAGATAATGTCAGTCCTAAGACTTGCTAGAGGTAGCTATTGGGTATGCTGCATGTTCCAAAAGTTTTAAAACTTGAGTGAGAAAAGGCTGTGTTTCCAATTGAAAGTTTCTGTGTTTCCAATCTAAAATGTTTCCTTTGCATAATCCTCTACAGCTGCAAGAGCTGTTCTTCATGCCAAAAGAGGTGTGTGAATTCTTGAGTCAAAGTTCAATTTCTGTTGTCATAAAATATTATAAATACTTTCTCTTTCAATAATGCTGTTACTATTTTGAATCTTACTTTTAGTGTGCCCTTTTGCAGATCTTCTAATATGCATGAAAATTTTCAGTTTTTTTTTTTTTTCCCTCTACAACTATTTTTTTTGTTAAAAGCATTTAAACAATTCTATTATTCACTTGGCTCAGAAGAACAGTCTTTGAGCCAGCAGAAGAGTTGAATGAAGAGTAGGATTTCACATCTAGCAATGCCTTGGTACATGCAGAACAAGACTCAGCTGACTACAGAATGGAGCTAAGTTTTAAATATCAAATTCCTTGTAAGAAGAGTTGTCTGTAAAATTTCTAAAAAATGCTGTAAAAATAATATACAAATAGTATGTGTAGAGATCACTCTACAAGTAATATACCTACTACAAAATTCACAGAAGTAAGCAAACCGAAAGGACATTTGTACCTCGTCAGTAGGCTGTTTATTCAGTCGCAAGCATCACTCTTGCCATGTGATCCTCAACACAGACCTTAAGACAACTCTGTAGCAGAGGCCAGCTTCTCATCAGTCGTCCTTAGCATTAATTGTGTCATTTGAAAGAACAGATTGGAAAAAACATAGGGCGCATGTAGATTCTGGGGACGGGTGTTGGGAAGGAGTATTAGCGTGCTAATTAAGAAACAACATATGTATGTGAAAATATATCAAGCAATATGGCGCTTTCACTATTAATAATAATCTCTGGAGAACGGAGGTCATAGCCTCTTGCAGTTAGTTCTTTGCTAGGTACATAGTATTTTAGTAAAAAGAACAGACAAAGAAACAAAGGAAACGTCGGTGAAATAACCTTGATGTAGATGGTTTCATATAGCTACAGTTGTTTTACTGTATAGTAAACAATTAAAATTAATAATAGAAAACTGGTAGAACCAGATCACTTCAGATGGTTTTAAAAAGAATGAGATGTAATTGACAGTATTGCACAACCAAGCCTAATACTGTCCTCTGGATCTAGTGAGGGCTCGATTTCTTACTCATTTATGGAAACTAAAGCTGCAGCATAACAAATAAACAGCTTCCTTGGGTAACAATACTCCAGTCCTTATCGATTGCAGGATAACAGAGTATGAACTGAATCTGTGTAGCATATAGAGGAGATTGCACAGACACACATATGTGTGAATTTTAATGAGATTTCATATAAATTTCCAAATATCAATCTTTATTCTTAGGGTAATTGTATATCACTGTGGTCATAATCAGCCATAATTATAGCAGGTCACATATTACTCTTCACTGGTAAAATCCCTCGTAACTGTCAGAAAGTGATTATAGACCTCAAAGCCCAGAGTTTAAGAAATTTATCAGGAGAGTTTCTAGCAAGAGATTTGGGAGATTTTTAGGTTAAATTAGAATATAATTATGTGCAACACTGTGAATCTGGTGAATGAATGTAATACTTAGAACTTCATCTTGCTGCTTTCCACCAGATGTCACATTGTAGAGGAAAGAATGAAGACAGTAGATTAATTTTCACATAATAGTAAATGTGAAAAATTCATGGACAGGAAACAATATTGAGAAAAATACATTAAAGAAAGCAGTAATTCTTGAAGTAGTATAATTATTCTGCTTATTAAATAAACAGACTTGATGCCTTAGAAACTGTATTACTTAATTCATTATATGGATAAGAATTAAAGAGAAAAATGCTTCTCTAAAATTATGTGTGTGGTAGCAATTCTATAGAACTGAACAGTTTCAGCTCAAACATGCTACTTAGACTAGGGATCCAGGCTGAAAAATCAGTTAGATATACATACAACTTGTGTTTTGGACATTAATATTCGCAATTGCATCATAACACAGTGTAATTTTAAAAATCTCATTAGGATGAAGTAGACATGCTAGTTGTTTGATATGTACTAAAATTCAGTGTTTTAAGAACAAACTTCTTACCTCAGGGATGCAAAATCTGCTACTGATCTCAGTGGGACAGGACTAAATCATCCTGGATGCTATGCTGAACCCCAAAAATGGATGCAGCAAATTTTCCTCACTCTGTGAAGTGGCTCTTTCATAACTAAATAAAAAACCTCAAGCTTACAAGCCATCTGTGCTACTAGATAATGTTTTGATGGAAAAAAAGGTCTTCACAGGGACCATGTTGCCTTTAGAACATATATTATGGCCTGTAATCTGATAAGATTTCACATATGAAGATTAACTTTTTAACATGTGTTTTGGACTCTCTTTTCCTGTAAACAGGCAAGTTCATGCATTTTCTTTTGTTCCTTTATTGCTAAAACTGATATAATGCAGTAAAGCTCTCAGATTGCAGTCTGTGGAAGAAAACATGGAGTCGTGTCTGTTTCCATAACAGGAGCTCTTGGGAAACCATATTCAGTAAAAGTGCAGAGGTGGTGACTCCTGAGCAACTCCAGTGTTGCCAACGGATAGTACAGCTTTGTAAACACTGCCTGATAGTGGTTTACAAATATTCATCGGGCTCCAGAGGATCACTGACTGGAATTAGTCCCAGCTGGGATGATACAAGGTATGTATTTCAATGTTCTCATTCAAAATTATAATGATGAAAGATAATATTGCTGTTACTGCTACACTTTCCTTTAAGCCTCATTCACTAAGTATTAAAAAAAAGGGAGGGGCAATAAACCCCAACATTTCCCCTGATCCTTGATTTTTTCATTCTAAGCTCTCTAGCTCACTCATGAAATACAATGAAAAAAATTGCTATGTACCATTTGTGTGAAACTACCCTTACTAAAGTCTTGATTGCCTACTGCCTAAGTAGCTGCAGCAGAGGCTTTCTGTAAAGCGAACTGAAAATTTCCTTTCTTCCACTTCTCAGATCCCTCAAAGTCAGTGATTCCAGATTTGCATTCTTAGAGGTATCCTAGCATGTATGATACTTCTGGCTTCACATTCGCAGTGGGATGCTATAGGGGCACAACTCCAGCCAAGGGTCAGGTAAGTGCCATCTGATTTACTGTATTGCACAGTTTTGCAAAGTTGACTTCAAAAACCTACAGTTTTAAAGCTTTATTATTTCATCTTACAGAGCACAAATATATTTTCAAACCTTGCAAAACAGCATCATATAGTAAAAAAGAAAAAAAACATTTGGCACTTACCTGATTCTGCATTGGCTGGTTTAGTTCTCCTACCGGATACAATAAGGATTATATTGTCAGTGTAGGGATTACTGAAAATGCTCCAACTGTGGGAGTCGATGATCTCTAATTCAGCAGTCTTAGATGGAAAATTAAATGTAAGTTTCAAATTACTTAGGTTCCAATTTCTATCCATAATGGCAATTTGAATTATTATGTATATAAACTTACAAATGCTTTGTTTATATAAAGTATCTTACAGACCCTATATCATAGAAGAGCTTTATGAGGTAAATACCATGTGAAAAGTGAACCTTTGATATATTATCTGTTAAATTTATTTTATGACTTAATTGTGTACTTGGTATATCTCAGGCTGGTTATTTGATACATTGAACTCTCATTTGTTACTGTCATATGAATCTTAAGGCGATCTAACATAATTTAAAACCACCTAGAAACTGAATTTGGTCATAGCAAAAGTAGAAGTATCTAAAACAAAACAAATCATATTCAATATTAACAACTACTGAGCTGTCACAGGAATATGGTAAAGTCATCTAGTGTAGTAAAGAGTAGAAAATCTTCAGGCTTGAAGTTTTTATTACTTTTACTGTTAATACTGCAGAAAATTTTTCGTCATAACCAACTGCAAACTATTCAAACTGATCAGATGAGATTACTCTTATGTACTGCAGCTAGCAATCTTGCATTTGGAAAGCAGTGAAGTGAATGATCCAACAGGACTTTTTCATCTCTGGTTTCTGTGTTTATTTTGACACTGAACGGAAGTTTATTCATAACTTTCGCAGGCAAGAGGAATCTAGGATCTGTTATGTCCTAGATAACGATATTTCTTCAGCAGTGTGATAGCATGACAACTCTGACTGAAGTTAATGGCTTTATATTAATATCCATCTCTACTATGTATAAAGCAATATGCTAGTTAACCATGATATTCTGGATCTGTGAAATGAAAGTATGTGTGGAAATAAATGCTCTTGCCCATGGTGCCTGCCCCACAATATGTAAGGTAATGAATTTTTTTTTTCTAGAAATGGGAGAACCACAGTATTAATTCTCTTCCCATCATCTAGGTTTCTGTTTCTAAATTATGTAAGAAACTACGCTACTACCAACAGTTTTCCTGAGTGACAGGAAAATTGTGTGAAGTGCAAGAGATAATAATATAGTTTAATAAATGTACAACAAGTTAATTTTTTTTCAAGACTTTATAAAATTTAATTTGAAGAACTTACTTTGTTGTTTTGTTGCTGTTGTTGTTTTTTGACCAGAAAACTCTTTTTTTAAGTTTTGCATTGATGACTAAAGGCTTCACAGTTATCAAATAAATACATCTTTATTTAGGAAAATAGATTTCTATGTGGAGAGGAAAAAAAGCTAGAGTTCTTATTTCACTTTCTGGATTTGTTCTCAGTTCCAGCTCCTAACTGTAAATCTACTGTATGTGATGAAAAGATTAAAGTATTAACGTGAATGTATTTTTTTCTCACAAAATTTAGTGTAAATAAAACAACAGACCTCAAAAAAAAATACAAAAAAATCATTTAAATAATAGCTAAAAAATAAACTGTGCAAAAAGCTGGACCTTTCTCATTTTTGATAAATTCACCCATGTTTCAAAATTTAAGAAATGACGAAAAGTACCATCCACTGCTAGATCCTTACAGCTTGCTAAGAAATCTTATGGCGTATTCTTAGAGAAGCATCAGAACTGTTCACTTTAAGATCAAGCAAATGTAGGACTCAGTCTGCTGAGGCAGTGAACTGTCAAGCTCACCACCAACCCATACCAAATTATGCTTTTTTTGGTAACTTGTTGAAAAACTGAATTGGTGATAATAACATTTGATAATAACGTGATTAGTAGGATCAGTGCTTTAACTTATTCATCATTAATCAGTATGATTCACTAGAATGATGCAACATTTTTAAAGCAATAATTTATACAATGTGTTACGCTAATCCATCTTAACACTGACATCATTCTTTAGGAAACTCTGATTTAGTGTGGATGTTATTTCTGCACACGTACTGTACTCATATGTACTCATATTTATGCAACTATTAGGAAATGGTAACATGAAACAGATTTAAGAATAAATATTAAACATGATAAAAGTTTTTTTGTAGTATTGTGTAAGATACGTGCTATATAATTGCCTGAATTTTAAAGGATAAATAGTCACAAGGGATAAATAGTCACAGACTTACTATGCATCATTGTTTCTTGCTTTACTAGAGTGGTGATGATAGCATGAGTACTTTTAGGGAATTAGAATAGGAAACCAAAACTGAATAATTCTATTTTTCTTCCTCTAATAAGTGTTTTCTTACAACTTTACTTTTAATAACATAGTTAACAATAACTGCAGTTTTTACCTAATTTAAATTGAGCAAGTAGTACTATAATAACAGAGCATGAAATGTTAATTTTTAATAGTGTCGTTGCACAGAATGCCATTGTTAATTTACCTTCTTGCTTTAAGAAGACTGGCAAGATACTTGGTCGTCATACAACATCCTGAAATTTTGCTAAGACTCTCTCTGACCTTAAGATCTGTTTTCTGAGTCAGTTAATGCCTAGTGCTCTGTATGTTGTATAAGTAGTGCTTATTGCACATATTTTCCTGTGTGAAACAATTACAAGGTATGGCTCTTAATTCTTTCACCCTTGAATGTTATCTTATGTGTAAATTCAGCTGTATTTTCTATATCATTTCTAGGTGTTTGTTGCCAGGACCTTCACAGTTCATCACGAAATCATCCTCGTCCAACCTTAGCTGCAGTTCGTCCGGAATGCCTCGCCCTAACATTTTGTTCACACACAGATATAGTCACTTGTGAAACAAACGAAAAGTTATTTTCCATTGTACATAATGGCACTCCGTATATATATTTTTTTTCAAATTAAAACTTGTCATGGAGCTAAATGCAAGCACTGTTATAATATGGTAGTAAGTATATAACATATAGCTGAAAACCTACTGTAAAAGCATAGCTTTTCTGGAAGCATAATAAACCTTGTTAAGCTGGTTACACACATTTGAATGTGTAGATCTTGCTAGGTTTATAAGTAATTCCTACTAGAAATGTTATTTTTGCTGCAGAATATAGAAATGAAATTGATCTTGAAGATCCTATTACAGTGTTACATTATTTTGTATGTACAATACTTTGACTTGAATATTATTTATTGTAAAGTATACTATTTATTGTCTCAGATGTAATTGATCCTTTAACTAGACAGATGATTAAAAAAAACTGTAGTGGAACACTAAAACTGTAATAATCATTAAAAATAATCTGGTAATTTCTTGCACATGTTTAAAGTAATGACCCAAATCCTGTAAGCCAAACCTGAAGCAGGTATCTTTTCATTTCTCCTCTGAAATTATGGGTCTTGGTTAGTGCTTTTACTTTTCTTAAAGGACATGGTATAGTATCTTTTAGTCAAAGTGGAGGCATTCTATATGCAGATAGTAAAAATATCAGTTCATGCATTCAGTTTCTAACTGGATTTTTGTAATAAAACAGAAGCCAATATTTGTTAACTAGCTTTCATTCACATTACCTTACCTATGGCCTGTGCCTTTAAGTTTCCTTTGGGAGCAAGCAGTCACCTACAACTTGTACAAGCATGCATAGTGCATAGTTTTTCTGTTTTACTACACAAGTGGTAAAGCAGACATTTTTAGGAAATACTGCAGCTATAATTTATTATTTCAACCTTATACTAATTGGTTTGCTGTAGTTTTTAGCATACAATCCAGTACATACTGTAGAATGTGTTGTTTAGCTAGACAGTATTTTCTAGACTTACTGACACCTTTAAATGTTGGAAATATAATTCAGTAAGAAGCTCTCATTCAGATTCAGCTTCCTCAGCCTGGCTGAGGGGCACAAAAAGAAACCAAGCCAGAACAGGAACACAATTAACAGGACTTGTAACCTGAAAGCATCATTCAGGTTTTCTACTTATACCCTTCCATCTCATTCAGCGTTGTGCCATGTAAGCCTTATTTGTTATATAAATAATTATTAAAAAAACACAGCTAATCTAGATTTTTTTGTTTGTTTGTTTAACTGAGTGAAGAACAGAGTAGTAGGTATTTACCAAAGACTTGTTTACTTTCTAATAATGCAATCTGAAAACTTGTTTGTAAATTACCAATGTATTTTAGTTATATGTTAAAAATAATTTAGGGGGGGTTAATTGTCCTCAGGAGAAGTATATTAGAGGTTTTTGATATCCAGAAATTTATGAGAAATTTAAGAGACTTAAGAGATTTGAGACTGAAGTTGTCTGGAATTTATTATTATTATTTTTTTTTAATCTTAGTAGATATATCAAATTGGGAATTCTGGTGAGATTTTTGATGCCTGTGCTGTAGTGCCTCAGCTCTAGAACTGCAAGATACAAGATAGGAAGACTATTTGTAAACAAATAATAATAATAATAAAAAAAGACAAAACAACAACACAAAACATAGATTAGCCAGATATAAGCAGTCTTCTTGTCTGGTAAAAATATTTTTCATTCTCATGGTAATACTGATTTAGTAATACAGTACGTTCACATTAATTGTGTATATTTCCTTTGATCCATATTGATAAAGCATATTATGATTATCTGTAACACCTAATAAAAGCTGTAAATCCTTTCTTCTTGGGGCAGCTTCCACTGTATTCTGCTTTTGGCATGAGGGGGGAAACAGCTTCAGCCTACTTTACCCAACTCAAACGGAATCCTGTGACAGCGGGTTCACATGGCTTTGTCTTTTTCTTTTTAAACTGCTTTTGATAAGTATTCTCAGAGGCCAGTGCTGGGACAGGCCAATCTGTACTGAGCAGTCTGCCAGCCGAAAGAAGACTACTAAGTATACCTGTGTGGTACAGACATACAGAAAAAAGGTGTTTAGTATGTACAAAAGTGGACCAGATGGTTGATTTATGTCTGATGCTGTTTAATTTATTTCTGATAACCTTTCCTAGAGTAGTACTGCATTCCTAATAATGTGTGAATCAGTACTTACAGCATCTAAGTATGTTAATTTGAGTATGTTAAGTATATTCAAGGATGTCACCCCAGCTGAGGTGCAGGCTGGTTTCCTGTCAGGCTGCGATTCACTTCCCTACCTGTCATTAATGACCCACCCCTCACAAACCGACTGATACTTATACAAAAATTTTGGCATTTGGTGGGAATTTTTATTTAGTGTTACTTTTTGTCGTTGTTTGGAGCCGGCTGGAGGCAGGGCAGCGGCAGTTGCAGGGCGCGGAGGACGCCGTGCCGGCAGAACCGGCGGCGAGGAGGCGCAGCCTCAGGGTGCCTCAGGGTGCCTCAGGGTGCCGCAGCGCCCGGGGGGTTCCCGCCCTAGCTCTCCACACGCCCGGGGCCGCTGCGGGGGCCGCCCGCCGGAGGGCGGCAGCAGGCAGGGCGCAGCCCCCCCGTGTCTCGGCAGGGCGCTGCGCCCCCAGAGGCGCTGCTGGGGGGACCTCTGCCCGCAGCTCCTTGGGCAGCACCGAGGCGTGAGGCGCAGGGCTGGGGTTTTAAGCACAAGCACCACGACAGGTGCCTGTCCCGCTGGCTGGTTGTCGAAATCAGCTCCTGTCGCTAACGGCACAATCAGGGTAAGCTCACACACAGTGGGTGTTTGAAAGCAGCCAGCACCTGGTGTGATTTAGGTGGAAACCTCTCACGGTTTCCCCAGCAGCCACACAGGCTCTGTCCCCCGGGGCCTGGCCAGAGGGCTGGGCTGCGGGCGCCACGCAGACCGGCTTGGCTGTGTTGTTCCCTGCCGCCTAGTACTGCGGTGGGTAAACGCTGTCACTTCAAAGCAGGATGAACAGCTGTAGGGTTGGGCTCAGAAATACCAATTATGAAACCTTAAAAAGATTTCACACCTTATTTGTGCTGTGAAACAGTTCTTACCCTGTGAGAGCGCAGCCTGATGGCATCTGCTCTTTTAGGCTTTACTGGAGAAAAATACCGACTGAAATCTGTGGGAGCTCAGTTCGTACGGGCTATGAGGCGGGCTTCCAGGGGCTGACCAGAAAGGTTGCTGCTTTCCGTGGCAGAAAGCTTTTGCTGGTGCGAAGCTATTATTTGTCACTGGTCTGCAAACAGCCATACCTCTTCCGTGCCCAGGAACTGAATTTTCTGGTAAGAGAAAGTGCATATAAATGTGCTTCTTTAGTTTTGGTAATACACTTGGACTTCTAAATGCAAAGTCACAGGAGCAAAGAAAATACATTTTTGAAAGCATCTGTTTGCCAAAGTAACATTAAAGGAAACAGAGTATTTCACAAAGATACCCCTTTGGTAGACCTTTGCCTTGGGTTAATGGTCCACCTAGAAATAAATGTTTTGTTCTCTATGCGAAAACCAGTCACTAAGTGTCAATTCTCTATCCAGGAACATAAATAAGTTCACATCAGCTTTTAGAACTACATCTGAATGACCTTTTAGCTAGGCTAGGAGTTCTAGAGCAAATTCACTTTTAAATACACAAACACAAATTTACAGTTTTTGACTTTCCCCGAATCTTCAAGTGGAAGGATTGAATTACATTGACAGTCATATAACATCTAATTTAGGTGTTAGCAAATGTGAATATTTGCAAGTTAGCTTTGCATGCAGTGTTAAAACAGTTAACTTGAAGCTGTTGCGTTTATTCCCATTTTCAGGAGAAGATAATTTGCTGTTAAATGGTGTAGCTATTGGAAAATCTTTCACTATGGCATTTGCTAAAAACATTTGTAATTTTTTTTCTGTATGTGGTAAAATTCTCATGCATTAGTTGTTATTCTGCTTCTGTGTTCTTTGTTCTCTGTCAGCCACCTCTGTGCAGTTTCCTACATTGTGCAAATGTTTTGTTAATGCAGAAGAGTCTTTGTTGGTATGTAAATAGCTGTAGCACTTAGGATGCAAGGAAATCAGTGGTAATTTTACCATTTATGTATATGGAGCAGGAGCAGATTCTGCTTGTGGGGGAGCAAGACAGATACAGTCTTAGTGTTTTTGTCTTTTTTTTTTTTTCCCTATGTTCTTGTTTCTTCTTTTAAAACAAAAGGCAGCATTCACTCAGTAAGGAAAACCCTTAATACTGCAGTTAGAGCTCCCCTCCTTTCACAATAAATGATATTAACCATACCACAAACTTGTACATTTAAAACTGATTTGCGTGGCCTTTAAATGCCCTCTGAAAGGGTCTATCTGTTCTTAGTGACACAGAGCAAAATGGAGCCTGCCCCTGGCTGAAATGGTGGCTGACACCGATCCCCAGAATCTACTTTGTATTCCACGTCGGCTCAAATGGCTGCACAGCGGTCGGTCACCCTCTGCGCCTATCCCTGTCAAGAGTTATCAGCCACATCACGGAGGGTAGAGGAGCGCAAGGAAGTGACCCGTACCCGCCTTTGCTGCTGTGCTGTGATCAAACAACTGCTCATGGCTACTGCAGCGCGGTTTTGCCAAGCATTGTTACGCAGCTTGCTGCAGTGGTGTTTGACAGGATACGCACTTCACTTGCTGCAAAGGTCTGACTTTGAAAGCTGAGGGTGGCAGTCATGGAGTACAGTGGAGCCCGGAAGGGCTAAAAGGAGTCAGGACATCTGGTAAGACAATTCATTATCCCGGAGCAGGTTTTGCATTAAAGGTTTTTTCCTTGTGCCCATTCTTGTGGAAATTATTTGCTCTGTTGCAGCAGAACAAAAGATTGCCTCATCAAATGCTACCTATGAATTTTAACTGAGTGGAATTGTGTCATCTGACCATCCACACCCTTGGTTGTTCCTGCCACAATTCCCCACAATCCACTCTCTTTTAGAAGTTTTTCAGAAGGGTGTAGAGGTCCCTGTTTTCCAAACAGGAGATTTCCATAGCAAGATAAAGGAAAAAATGTCACGGTATACCTGTATTGCAAGCTTCTGAGTAGCACATAGATTTCTTGATCTGACTGAGTTCTCAGAAGCTGTCTGGTTGTCATTGTGTAAGAGCCTGCCATAGGGCTAATTTGCTTTGTGAAGAGAAATACAGCTCTGAGTGGCAAATGTGTGGACTCAGCAATACCTCGAATAAAACATCCAAGACAGGACAAAGGTGGAAATTCAGTGTATTTTTCCAGCAGCATGCACCTGCACCCCAAGACACCCCTGTGTGTAGGTGTGGCTCTGCTGAGTGCTGAGCGCTCACAGCTTTTGCTGCAGTCACTACATCCTTTCAGCTCTGACACTGCTTACTCTGCCAGAGCCATCCTGTGCCATGTGCAGCTGCAGATTTCAGCACTACAAATCCGTGTTTGGTAAGATAACCAGAATGCAATATCCCTTACAAATGCAGTGAATTAGTCAAACGACAGCATTGCTAATGAGAAGTAGGGTGGACTGACCTGTGCAGAGATCTGTACTTTCTCTGGTACCCAAATTAGTAGGGGACCGTGTGCAGTGTAGATTTATTTGTAGTAATAAACTATATTCATAAATGGCCAGCAATCTCAGGAATATGGCAGGTTTGAAGGAGTTGCCCTTTTTTTCCAGCCACATCTACCCTTTCTGGCCTACTGGGTGTTTGCAGGCATTCTGCTAAGCAGGGTAATTGGGAATACAACTGCTGCTTGTGGGATTTTTGCTGTTGATAGGAGTAATCTCTTTTTTTTCAAAATCATGTAGGATTCCTGCCATCTGATTTCTTTTATTCTAATTCAGAGAATGAATAAAGCACCTGCATCAAAATGACATGGTACTAGACAAATAAGCTACAGGGCAGTTAAAGTTCAGTCACATTATTGTCACTTGCTTCGGTGTATAGTACATTATGGAACCAGAGACAACTGAGAAAGCTTACTGGCATAGTGAAAAATAAGGTCTTCTTACACTTAAAATTTCTACCAGTGTTGGGAAGCTAGACCTGACAGCATCTTCCCAATCATTAATTTACTTAGCTTGCGGAAAGGTTTCTCAGAATACTCAGCATGAGCTCCTGTGGCTGTGTGGTTTGCACTATGTAAATGCACCACATAATATATAAACTCACAGGATTGCACACCAAGCACAGAGTTTGTGTATACCTTTAGTTTTGTCTGTAGTTGTTTCAGACTATGTGTTCCTTGCCTGTCACCACATCCCCTGGTTTTGTTTTGAAACATGACATGAACCAGAGACAGCTCTCTTACTTCCTTCAGCCGTGACATGGCTTTTGACATACCGAGAAACTAAATGCTTTGCTCCACAGATATGCCACTGAGTATGACAGTGCTGGTCACAGTTGCTGAATAATGGAAACATAGGTAGTCAGAGATTTTTTTTTTGGAAAAGCAGTGTAGAGTGCAGCAGTTTTATACTTACGCACTTATGAGCTGTTGGTATCTTGCTAGCTCACGTTATTACAGCTTTCAGAGTAGTGTGATAGAGGAAGGCATTGCTAACGCTGAGCATTCTTTCTGAAATGGAAAGGTTTGCAGTTTTTCCTTCCTTCTTTCAATCTCTCCCCCCACCCTGATCAAGTTGAGGAAACAGTAAGTACTCTATGTCTTATAGCTTCCAACCGCTAACAAGTCTGGGTGTGAGTAAAGGCTTAATAGCGATATCAATTAACAGCTAATGTGTATCATTGTTCAAACCATCCTAGTATGTGTTCTAATCTGCATTTGAATACAAATGTTC